TCCTTGAAATTGAACCGAACCGAAATGTGATTTTAGCGTACCGTTACACCTCTACTGACAACTAATGAAAATCCCAAATTCAGTATCTCAGAAAAGTAAAAAAAAATACTTCAGACCAATAAAAAAAGGGATTTTTAGAAATGTTGATCAACTGAAAAGTATGAGCATGTACAGCATTCAATACTTAGTTGTTGCTCCTTTTGTCTGGATTACTGCAGCAATGCAGCGTGGCATGGAGTTGATCAGTCTGTGGCACTGCTCAGGTGTTATGAGAGCCCAGGTTGCTCTGATAGTGGCCTTCAGTTCTTCTGAATTGTTGGGTCTGGCGTATCAACATCTTCCTCTTCACAATACCCCATAGATTTTCTATGGAGTTATGGTCAGGCGAGTTTACTGCCAATTAAGAACAGGTATACCATGGTCCTTAAACCAGGTACTGGTAGCTTTGGCACTGTGTTCAGTTGCCAAATATTGTTGGAAAAACTAAATCTGCATCTCCATAAAGTTGGTCAGCAGCAAGAAGCATAAAGTGCTCTAAAACTTCCTGGTAGATGGCTGCGTAGACCTTGGACCTCAGCAAACACAGTGGACCAACACCAGCAGATGTCATGGCCCCAAACCATCACTGACTGTGGAAACTTGACACTGGACCTCAAGCAACATGGATTCTGTGCCTCTCTTCTCTTCCTCCAGACTCTAGGACCTTAATTTCCAAAGGAAATGCAAAATTTACTTTCATCAGAGAACATAACTTTGGACCACTCAGCAGCAGTCCAGTCCTTTTTGTCTTTAGCCCAGGCGAGATGCTTCTGATGCTGTCTCTTGTTCAAGAGTAACTTGGCACAAGGAATGCTACAGCTGAAATCCATGTCTTGCATATGTCTGTGCCTGGTGGTTCTTGAAGCACTGACTTCAGCTGCTTGTGAATCTCCCCCATTTTTTGGAATGGGTTTTTGTTTCACAATCCTCTCCAGGGTGCGGTTATCCCTATTGCTTGTGTACTTTTTTCCTGCCACATATTTTCCGTCCCTTCACCTTCTATTAATGTGCTTGGACACAGAGCTTTGTGAATAGCCAGCCTCTTTATCAATGACTTTTTGTGTCTTTCCCTCCTTGTGCAAGGTGTCAATGGTCGTCTTTTGGACAACTGTCAAGTCAGCAGTCTTCCCCATGATTGTGTAGCTTACAGAACTAGACTGAGGCCATTTAAAGGCCTTTGCAAGTGTTTTGAGTTAATTTAGCTGATTAGAGTGTTGCACCAGGTGTCTTCAATATTGAACCTTTTCACAATATTCTAATTTTCTGAGATACTGAATTTGGGGTTTTCATTAGTTTTCAGTTAGACTCATCAGCATTAAAATAAATAATAATTTGAAATATATCAGTCTGTGTGTAATGAATGAATATAATGTACAAATTTTAGTTTTTGAATGGAATTACTGAAATAAATCAACTTTTTCATGATATTCTAATTTTATAACCAGTACCTGTATATGTATCTAAGCTGATTAAGTTCAATCATCTTGGCTCAGTTTTTCTGTCTTTCATAAAACTAGCTAGTGACATAATTTGCCTTTATATTGTGATGTTTAACTTGTTTATGGATATATAGTTAATATAATCACTTTTAAGCATTGGTAACAATTGTTCAAACTGTGGAAAAACCAAATTCTGTGAGAACATGGCACTAAGACTAAAACAAATGAGACTGTCATACCTTTTAACACCAAATCAAGATTTGGTTGAGTTGTTAAACACATGGGCCACTGATGGGACAAGGCCACTAAATTATTTTCCCATTATCAGAAGCAGCTTGTTTATACTTGGTGAGCCAGGAACTAAGCACAATCTCATGGAACTGGAGTTACATCCAGTAAACAGCTGTATTTTATGGTCTTGTGTAAATGTTATTTTCTAATAAATATGAGAAAACTTACCAGTGTATATTTGTCTATTTTGCAAGAGTCAGACACACACAGCTGTACTGAGAGTGTGTATCAAATACACAAATTATGTCACTAGGTAGATTTAAGTATCAAGTCCAGCCTGATCAGTTCGATCAGATCTTTTTGTTTGTGTTGTTGCTGTTTGTCTTACAAGCTTTTTGAGACAATACAGTTGGTGAAATTAAGTTCTTTAAAAATATATTTTTATATGCCCTCTTTTGCTGCTGAGAAAATTGTTGATCGGTTTGTTTTCATGTCTGCAGATTAATGCTAGAGCCAGTACATATCCACGTCTACTACAAAATCTTTTGACGCAGGATTAAATGGTTATTACCTCCCTTGTAGCTGCAAACAAAAGCCAGATGTCAAAGCATTTTCCCCAACGTTAAAAGCTCTTAAAACACCCTCAAATTGAATGAACTGAAACCTGGAGTTAGGGTTTGTAATTATTGTGTTCCTGTATGTTATTCCACAGCCAACTTCATTTCCCTGCTTTGTATAATTTCCTCAGTCTTAAGTCTATGTTACTGTATTTTTTTCTTTACAGTAAAGTAGCTAAGTAAATATTTTCTTAGTCTACTTATTTTGTAAAAATTTTGAAGGCTCCTGTGAAGGCCAAATCATGGTTAACTCATACTACTGCATACAAGCTGAGCCTAAAACACAGAAAGTTCTGTGCTTTTCCACACTGTAAAATGATTTATTTGGTAATACTTGTTTTCTGCTGCATAAAATCATTTAAATCCTCAGTTTATAATTGAGACTATAAACAAACAAAAATAGCAGACATTGACATAAGCGTTTTCCGAGACAACCCAAGTAGGTATCTCTGCAGACAACTACGGAAGGCGTATCTGGAGGGCCACATCTGATTGGATGATAAAAACAAGGCGTAGGAGTATGAGGTTGTCCAGTGGTCAACCAAGTGAAATAGACATGGATTAAAGTTCTCTGTCGTTGCGACAGATTTTTGTCATCTTTGAATTATTATTATTATTAACCTGTATTTAACCAGGTAAATCCCATTGAGATCACAGATCTCTTTTTCAAGGGAGGCCTGGGCCTGAAGCCAGACTAACATGCATGTTTTAGATCTGTGAGAGAAAACCAGAGTACCTGGAGAAAACCCATGCAAGCATGAGAACATGCAAACTCAACACAGAAAGACCCGAGGTCCAAACAGGGATTGAACCCATGACCTTCTTGCTGTGAGGCAACAGTGCTAACCACTGAACTGTAGTGCTGCCAAAAAATGAAAATGAAGGGAGGAAAAGTTGTGTTTTGTTGCTGTCTTTTTAAAGCCATCAATCTAATAATGAAACAGGGATTAAATGGACACTGCCTTCAACAAAGAGAACCAGATCCACAGTTTTACCCAAACAGAGCATGGCGGGTCGTGTTTTCTGATACAAGGCGAGTGTGGGCAGTGTTTGTAACTCACAGGCTGCAGGTGAGAGCGCCAATCAGTGTTTTCTGGACTATTTTCTAAGCAAGACACTCTGCTAACCAAAGGTGATGACATGTAATAAATTATTTTACATCTATGTATTAAATGTACATTTACAAATGTACATGTAGAAATGTGTTCGCACATGACCAATACACAGCCGCCTGAGGAGATACCAGAACTGATACACCATCACCCCACCCCCTCCTCCCGCTATGCCTCTACCTCCACAGGACTTTTGTATCTAAAGTCTAACTTTGAATTAAACATTAATGAGTTCTGAGCATCGTCAACATTGTACAGAAATGTCCAACTTGCGTGTCTAAACTCTGGGTCTAAGAGAGTGTGCAGCCTGAGTGTCTCTGTTGAAGGATGAGGCTGTGTCTGCTGCTTTAGTTCTTATAATTAAACAGCATTAATGCTAAAAGACAAATAATTACTGTATATGTCATAGATAAGAGAAAATATGTGTATCTCCATTTCTCTCTGAGAGAGAGTCAGTTTCAAGTTTGTGCAGTTTATCATAAAAATCAGCAAAATTCAATTCTACGCTGTTCTCACAATAACTAGGTGGTGTGACTGTTTGGATGTGCTTAACTTGATTATATTTCAATCATTAAAAAAAAAGTAACCAAAAAAAAAACCAGCTAGGTTGTAAGGCAATGTAGAAAACTAAAAACAGGAACATGTCTGCGTTGGTTTTTGCCAGAACTTGGCAGATGTTTGATGCCACTTAGAGAGGTCAAGGTCGAGAACTTCAGATCGTTTTGCAAGATGTTCCAGGAAACAGGAGCGGTGTAGGAGAAGGCCCTTTTGCCTAGTTCAGTCCGCAATGAGGGGACACTGCATGTAATAATGTCCTGAGCGCGCACGCTGTAGCTGCACTCACGCAGAGACATTTAGGACATGTAAAAAGGCAACAGGCCAGAAGTGATTTTTAAAATTTTTTTATTACGGTCATGTATACAGTCCACTCTGTATGTGAAAACCTTAGAGATGTGACCTGTATGCAGGGAAAAGCTCTTGAATGAATGTGTAGTATTATGGGGTGGGGGTGTAGACAATTTTCTTAACATTCTATAATCTGACCCAGTTAAAACACCCATTAGTTGTTACATTGCTTAAACTTCCAGTATGCTCATCTTCAGCGTTGTTTTTCTTGTTTTACCCAGTTCTGTTTGAATGTAATGTAGCTGATGAAACAAGGCATTAATTCTGTAATAAATGTGTGTCCTATACATCTCGGCATGTTGAATGTGTAAACACTGATGTCAAAATAGAAAACACTTAACCGGCATTGAAGATGAGATTTATATCTGATCTTAAAAAGTTTAGCTCATACAGATAGATTTAAATAAGTTTTCCTTTAAAAGCAGTTTATACATTTATTTAGTGCCAGTGAAAACAAAAGCCTCTGCATTTTAACTAAATAAGTAAAACTACTGTCCAATATAAACACAAAAATGACTTTTGATATCTTTGGTTCTTTTGTGACCACGCAATGTGACAAAAATCTTGAGTCAGTATTTAATTCATAAACTCTTCTGCAGGTATATACTTTGTTTCAGTGATGTCTTTAATAACTGTAGAAATGTATTTCTTCGCAGAATCAGAAGGCACTGGGAAGAGGCGCAAAGAAAAATTTTCATACTCGATGACATTACATCGAAATGTCCGATCGTTTGGGGCAAATAACCAAGTCCAAGGATGGGAAAAGCAAGTATTCCTCACTCAGCTTATTTGACAAGTACAAGGGAAAATCAATAGAAACTCAGAAAAATACAGGTAAGTTTGTGTGCAGTCTGATGTTTTTTTATTTTTTATTTTACTCTCCTGTTTTAACTTGGACCTGTTCTCTGTCGCCCAGTAGTTCCACGACATGGCTTACAGAGTCTTGGCAAAGTGGCCACAGCCCGGCGCATGCCCCCACCTGCTCACCTGCCGAGCTTGAAGTCTGAAAACAAAGGAAACGATCCCAACGTGATTATAGTGCCCAAAGACGGTACAGGATGGGCGAACAAGCAGGAACAACCCGATCAAAAGAGGTGAAGAAGAAAGATTTTACGAATGAACTCAGTATTTTTATTTAAATGCATTAGTTAAATCAATTGTGCTGCAAATAAGTCATAATGTTGAAGAAATGTAATAAAGTTTTGAGCATTTTGTATGTGTCTGCATTTTACCATGTTCAGTCTTATCACTAGGAGTCTGTTGAACTGTGGGACTGTTTTTATTCAAATCAGATTGCAGTACTTACTGTTTTCTCTCTTATTTTAGTTCCACTGCGTCAGTGCCACAGCTGCCGGAGTTGCAGCCGCAGCTGGCTTTACAGAAATCTGTCTCCAATCTTCAGAAGTCCTTACCAGTGGCCAACCAAGAGGTATGCATGTGCACCTATGTTTAGTTTTACCAACATAACACACTTCTTTTGCCTTTTTCTCCCTCTCTTTGAAAAGCATCTTTAATATTTTCAAGGCTAGTACAATGAAAATTAAAGGACCAATACAAATTGTCATTTTTGTGTAAGAAAATTGATATTCCATATAGGACAAGAACTGTAAACTTTGAATATCAAGACCCTCATGGGGCAGTAAAACTTGTAGGACTATGGCCCTAATTTTATTCCATTTTTCTCAGAACACAAACACAGGTGGACCAAAGCAATGGGCCCAGCTAAATGGCAAGGCAGTAGAGCAAGATGGTGAGTCATATCAGATGAATCTATCTCACATTCAGACTTATCTGTTTCAAATCAACTGACCTGCTGTACAAATGGATGTGGAGGATCCACAACTATTTTATTTATTTATTATTATTTCAGTATTGGCTACAAATATTTACTACTGTAGTAGTGATAGTGGTATTTTTCTTTTCTGTGTATCTTGTACAACGACTTTGCAGTAAACTGACATGCACGTCCACAAAAATGAAAGCACAATTTCAGTGATTTTTAAGCATCATCCAACTTACATTGACCACTTTTTGCTGTGATGTCAGGTTTAAGGGCCTCAAACCGACTTCAGCCCTTCTCTCACGAGGAATTTCCCACCCTGAAGGCAGCTGGAGAACAGGACAAAGTTGGCAAGGAAAGAAGCGGCTTCGATCCGTCGTATGGGCCCGGACCAAGCCTCCGCCCCCAGAGTAAGTCCTGTTCCTTCTGAGCGCTCAGGAAATGATAGGCTTATGCTCTGTGCAAAGCAAAATGTTGGATTATTAAAAAATATTATGACCATTATTGTAGGAAGCAGCACAATTTCTCCTGTCCTCCTTTTTTTTAATTATTATTTATTTATGTTTTAAACTTGTATTTGATACCCGTTGGTGTTGCACATTTACATGGTTTTGAGTCGAGCAGATTTCCACAACAGACTACACAATAACTCACTAATTAGGCCTGTCGCGATAAACAATAAATCAATTAATCGCATGATAAATGAAAATTTTCGACCTCATTTTCATTTATCGGCTTTATCGTTTCTTCGTCTCTCTCTCTCTGAAGACACTGGAAGACAAAAGGCTCAACTCCGGTGCTTTTCTAGGGCTGTTGTAAACAAATATTTTAGTAATCGGGTAATCTATAGATTATTCTGACGATTAATCGGGTAATCGAAAACAAAATTTGTCAGGTTCTGCAGTAACTACCGGACTCATTTTACGAGTGATACAAATACACGAAAAAAAACATTAAATAAACAACCCATTTAATTCCTCTTTTTTAAATATTTTATTGCTTAAGTTGAATTATTTTTAAACATCACGTAAAAATCTAAATGCTGTAAAACAATTTTTATGGATTGGAAAACTGAATGGAATTTACAAAGTAGGATCTGGAAGGAAGGAAATCATTTGGACTGAAGGTGGAGATGATCTTCTGGAAGCCTCCATCTTCCACCACGGACAGCGGCTGCATGTCTGTGATGATCATATTTAAAATGCTGTTTGTGAACTCAGCTGCTGCACAACCAACATCCTGTAGCTCTTTGTATGAAGCTGTCCGACATATGACTCTGCATTTACTGAAAAGAAGTACAATAAAATTATTATTTGTTTGTTCATTGTTATTCCTTAATACATTTTCAAGTGTACTGCACTGGATATAAAATTATGTAATATTGTTAAGTAATCTACACTTTCTGATGACCTGCTGCAATCAAAGTAATATTAGTTGTATTTGATTTATGCTTTTATTTATGTGTGAGGTTTGAGGATTCTTTAATTAAACCTTCTGTCACTGAATTATTTTTAACCATCACATAAAAATCTAAATGCTATAAATTTTTATGGATTGGAAAATGGAATGGAATCTTTATGTTAGAACCTGAGTAAGATGGATAATGTAAAGTTTGAGTTTGTACATTGAGTTCTGCAGACTATTATTATTTAGTCTTGATTGTTTAGCTATAAACAAATATGACAGTAGTAATCAATGCAGATTAATCTCAGTTTTCAGTCATGAACAGCAGTAGCAAGAAGAAAAAAAAAATCCCACTAACTTGTTTAAATACATTTACACTTGAAATATTCACCCTAAATATCTCATTTAAGTCAGGATGGAAGTACAGCAATAAATAAATGCATCAGTCTGTTGCTGCTTTTATCTTTAACAAACTTACATCAAGTCCTGCAGAGTTTTTGTTCCTCACACAACATACAGAACCTGCCAGGTAGCCACTATGATTAGTCAGTAGATTTAACGTTAGCAAAAATATGCCTCATTTTATATCTATAACATGACAGATTATCACATTTAGGTTAACATATTTTGCACAGAGAACATGATACCTGTTGCAGCTGTGGATGAGTTTGATGCTACAGCGGGTGTTTTCTCTTCAGACGCTGCAACATCGACGACGTGCTGTTGTGGTTACTCCAGTTCTGCTTTGCAGTGGAAGCACTGAGCTGTGTTGTCTTTTCTGTTTATCCTAAAATGTTCCCAAACTTTTGACAGTTTTTGTTGTTTTCGGGGCTCTTTTTCTACGCAGTCTCCGTTCCCTCCATCGCTACAAACTTAGCACACACGCGTTGGTGGAAGTGCTAGCGGAAGCGCTAGCCTTGTGTAACACAAAAAGCTAGACCACAGTGCTCTGAATAGTTTTAACGAAGCTTCGAGGCAGATAAATTTGCCTCGAGGATTTTTTGTAATCTAGGTCCTCGAATGATTCGAGGAATCGTTTCAGCCGTACTCTTCACTGATCCCTCCCTTTCTCTTTAAAATCCATTTTAACCGTCCAAAATCACATTTTTGGATCGTTAAAAGCAGCTAAGCTACGAGCTAAGCTAACAGGCCGACCTCGGGGAAAAGACATTCGTCTTGTTGGAGCTCCAGAATTCACGGTTGAAAAAAAAAGTTGTTTTTCTCTGCAAAAAGAAGCTGAGAACTTGTTTACTTTTTCTTTTTTTATATATATATATTAAAGCTTTGTGTGAAAAATGCTATGCTAAAGAGCTCAAATCACACCAAGCGTCTGCCATTTTGAGAACCAAAAAACAGGAAGGACAGACAGCCCATGTCACGTCAAGAGGCCTCCCTCCCATTCTTCTTAAGAGACACACTGCTCACTTCCTCACTATCCATCCATCAGTTCAAACAGTCTTATACTGCCATCCGGTAGTCGGGAAAAAAAAGTACCACACTCAAAACAAATTACCAACATTTCTTCTTAAATGTGACAATAATTACTAATTATTGTCAAATTTCAAACAATGTTATAGTTTATTGCAATAATTTCTGAGACAATTAATTGCCCAGCAAAATTTGTAATCGTGACAGGCCTATCACTAATACCTGCGAAGTCAGAACTAGTTATGAATTTCTTTCATGAGTAGACAAAGCATTGACTGAATCTTTGGCATGAAGCCATTTTGCAGCTGACAACACATTACTTTGTGTTTTAGTTATATAATTATCCCTCAGCTAAGGCAAAATGATGGTCTTTGTTTCTGTTGTTAAAAAATATATTTTTTGTGCTATATTAATGTATTTATTGTTTCTCTGTAAGATGTGACGAGCTGGAGGGAAGGTGGTGGCAGGAACCTTCAGCCCTCATCCCTCAGCCTGCCAGCAGATGCTGAGGGTAAGACCACTGCCCAGGGTGAGACTGGCACTCCTCCAGTCTCATCTCTTCCCTCCGCTGCCACCGGTACCATCTCAGCTAGCGTCGTGACGGCGCAGTCGCCGGCTGTCGACTCCAAGGAGGTTTCACTCCGACCCGCCCAGCCTGTGCGCAGACTTGCCGTCCCTTCTGCCCTTCAGTATCAGCTCCATCACACTTCAAATGCTGTCTACCATGACATGTTGCCTGCATTTGTACGTACTGAATGGCCTAACAGACAAACATTTGTTTTCCATATCGATTTCTGATATTAATAACTTGCCACTACTTTCAGATGTGCTCTAAAGAGACTCGTGAAGCTACTGGTCCAGATAATGTTTCTACTACAGTAGCAGCCCCGGCTCGATTTGACAGCAAACCCACTTTCAGGCAAAGTTTTACCAAAACTGAACTTGTAAAGTGAGTACAGTACAAATCCTTTTTCAGTTACTGGTGATTTAGCAAAGCCTGCAACATTCAGCAGATGTGAATTTGTTTCTCCACGTTTGGTTGCAGTGGTGACGCGAGAAGAGAGAATCGCTTTGTCCGTGTCCCTCCTCGACTCTCTTCTCAGCCCATCCGCAGGCCTGGCGACAGACCACAGCGCCCAGCCATTATTAACGCAGACGATTTGAAGGATCTTGATGATCTTGACAATGACTGTGAGGACGGATGGGCTGGTCAGTATTTTCTTGTTCTTGTTCCTCTGTAAATGCATTCCATCACTTCTTTAGAAACAACAGATTTCACAATAAGGCCTTAAATATGATACTCCAAACATTTTTTAAACACATATTTTTCCTTTCATTTGAAATTGCTGTTTTTCTTCTGGCAAGAGGGCATCAATTCAAAGAAAAATTTAAAATAACTATTTCTGGCCAATTGATGACAATAACACCAACATAAATAGCATCTATTGAGCATGTTCATTTAGCATTGTTTACCGTTTGTTCTCGGTAATTCACATTTTCAGTACACTGCTGAATAGTAATGGCAAAAATAGGACACATTATTAAAAATAACAAACGGCTCTGTTGTGTTTCTAGGACTTCATGAAGAAGTTGATTACAGCGAGAAGCTTAAGTTCAGTGATGACGAAGACGAACATGCTCCAAGTGACAGAACCAAGATGTGGTATGACTTCCTACTTTATAGGTTGTTGGTCTTTTTGTTTTGCTTTTGTTTTTCATTGAAGGGTGTCTGGTTTTACTGCTAACTTTTAGGAATGAATGGGACAAGCGGGACCACCAATCCTCCTTTAGTTCAGGGGAACAGTCTTATCCTCAAGAATCTCCTGAGGACAATTATTCTTACCAACATCACCATGAGCCGTCCAAGAAGCTCAGCAGCAGATTTCTCTGCACTGACAGCCAGGTAACTACAGTGCTCACCACTTTGATCTTTTTCTTTTAAGATTATTCATTTTAAATGTGCTTTTCACTGGTAAACTCTTCAGCCCTCTTTCAACAAGAAACCCATTTTGCTTCTGTTATTTAGTTATATTTCACGTAGAAACTTCACACATCACCATCTTAAGTGTCTATGTCCTGCTTCTAGGCCATGCAGAAAAACCACAGTGATCCACTAGCTGACTCAGATGATCACCAGCGGCCTCAGAGCCAGGCTCTAGCTAGGGGGAAGTATGTGACGCCTGAGCGTTCTGAAGCTGTTGAGAGAGCCCGTAGACGTCGGGAGGAAGAAGAAAGACGTGCTCGTGAAGAGCGACTAGCTGCATGTGCTGAAAAACTCAAGAAGTTGGATGAGAAGTTTGGGAAGATTGAAAGACAGGTGTCGAGGACCGAAGATTGCTCAAAGGAAGCAGAGAGCAAGGAAGTCCCACTTTCCCCAAACCAGGAACAGAGTAAAGGCCATAACGAAAACTTGCAGTACAGCACAAAAGGTAAAACATTGTAATCTTACACTCTATATATGTTTAGGAAAAAGTTATATATGCATGGTTCGTTCTAAAAAGATCTTGTAATCAATTTTATTTTTAGATGGAAGTGATTGTCTGCCAGTCTCCTCTGGCAGTAGTTATCGTGATGAGCCAGGCTTCTCCACTCACCGCAGTAGTGAAGATGATGGTCAGGAGCCCTCCTCCCCCTCAGAAGACTACAGTGGACGTCAGCTCTCTAAATCAGTTCCACCCCGCTTCCAAAAGCAGCCACAGCACCACCAGCAGCAGGTGATCACTAACTGATGGCCAATTTGACTTAAGTTTTTATTTTAAGTTTATATATATTTAAGTGTATTTGTTCTTGGGAGATCATTTTCAAAAGCTTAAAGGACAGAAAGTTATGGCATGAAAAGTTTTAAAACATATATTTTTTTGCCTTTAGTTGCACTGTAAATTATGAATCATTTCAGATTATTTAGACCTGACATGTTAGAAAACATTCTTCATGACAAAAAGTTGGATAAAAGTGGATAATCTTCTTTTCCTAAACAGTCTTTTGAATGTTGTTCACTTTTTTTTTTCCAACTGTCTGTTTTTTTTTTTGTTTTGCTATTGACAGGAGTCTTTGCTTAAAATGCAGCATTGGCAGCAGTCAGGACATCCCACTTCAGGCTCGAGCCATGCCCAGCGGCGCTATTATCCCCCACATGTTCTCGGGTTTGATCCTCGCTGGATGATGATGCCACCTTTCATGGACCCACGCATGACTCAAGGACGATCTCCTGTAGACTACTATCCAGGTTCCGTTCATTCATCAGGTAAATTCTGAAGCTGTGTAGATGCAGATACCGTAATTCTCGGGCTACAGAACACACCTGTCTCTAAGCCGCACATACTGAATAAAAGATGAATCATAAATTTGTACATAAATAAGACGTTATTAAGCCGCGGGTATCTACCGTTCATCGTTCAGACTGCATGATCGTCACAAGTCTTCACGAAGCTTCGCTGTCTGACTCATGGTTACAACCATTAAACCTTGAAAAGCAACACAAGGACAGTGTAAGCATAATCACTGGACAGAACAGTGCCATACACCTATGTAACTGAAATTATTTAAAAATTATATACCGGTCAATTTTACCCAGAGTTCTTATCGAGGTCATGTGACTGGAAGTCAAATAGTACCGGTAAAATACGGTAAGTATTCATTAAATTAGTAGTATTGATTTTTATTGTTAAACACTTTGGTAAGAGCTGCTGTTTTTAAATGTACTTTCTAAATAAATTTGATGTGATTTCTCCTCAGCACTGCTCATATGAGGAGGGGGGCTGTTCTCCCTTCCTGAAGGGGGAACAGCCCCTCCCTCCCGTTGTTCCGCTCCGTGCTGGTATTTAAACACATATTTACCGTACACAGATTTTTATTTTTAACTTTTATTTAAATATGTACCAGTCTTGACTGTGACTGCTTTAAAAATAAATCTGACTTGACTTCTCTGAGCTCCCATGACGGAGGGGGAAAGACATCCCACCCCCCATGTTCTTTGTCACTGCTCTGTGCTGGGATGTGAGTTTAAATGAGATCCCTGTATTTAAACACATATTTACCGACACAGAAAAATGTCACACAGTAATAGGGGTGGGCGATATGGCTCAAATATAATATTGTGATATTTCAGAGCATTCTGGCAATAACGATACATTTTGTGATATAAAAAAAAAAAACAGAAATCATAGTTATTCATTTGATAAAATTAACTTAACATGTTGCTTTGCAGTATTGTATAAAAACTATTTAAAAAAAAACAAGGGTTAATTTTACTGAAATTACTTTATTTAGTAAAGTATTCAGTCTCAAAGTATAAAAATAAAAATGATCCTTCTGTTATTTAGATTGAAAACATCTGCACAAAATATAGATCAACAAAATCCACCACAAGAACAAATGCAGGTGAAGTTTCGCAAAATAACTAAATAAAATGAAGCTTAAGATCTGTTGAGCATAAATGTAACGTACAACAAAATATATGTTGCCTTTAAATGAGCTATAACTTCCAGAACTTCTTTTTTCTCCCTTGTCCTGTCCAGCATTGTGACACTCAGAATTATTGTTTGAGTGTCAAGGTGATGATGCCCAACAGATTTACTTTCACAAGCAGAGCATTATGGCTGGCCTTAATGCTTGATATATAAATAAAACTTTATTAGAATTTGCTTTGGGTTTGTTTCAGATGTAATGGGCACGGGGATGAAAGAAAAAGTTCTGAAAGTTATAGCTCATTTAAAGGCAACATATATTTTTTTGTATGTTACATTTATGCTCAACAGATCTTAAGCTTCATTTTATTTAGTTATTTTGGGAAACTTCACCTGCGTTTCAGTTTTTGTGGCATTCACTCTGTATAACAAAATTCTGTCCTCAAGAGGGGTGGGTGCAGGGCAGCTCTGTGAGCAGCGTCCTGGCTCTGTCAAAGGAAAAGGTTAGTCAGAGGAAGCTGCCAAGAGATGACAGGAAGTCTTTCAAAATAAAATATAAATTATGAAGAAAAAAAACTTAAATTAGCCGTTCCTACATATAAACCGCAGGGTACAAAGTGTGAGAAAAAAGTAGTGGCTTATACACTGGAAAGTACTGTAGTTAGGTGACTTACAGACAAGTAGACTGAACTGTTGTTGGAACATAAGTTTTTCTTTTTGACCACTGTAATTTTCTTGATCAGGAATGGTAAAACCTGCCATGCATCAAGACCATTTAAACAGTCCTGGTTCAGATGAAGGATGCCATTCCAAACTGCATTTAGAGAAGCGAACTTCATCCACTGAGCCTTACCAAGTGTGGAATCAAGATAGCCACCCACTGCGCAGCTTCACCCCACCTTACCAGAGGCAGCATGAAAGCGCAAACAGGGGCCAGCCTGGTGACAGGTCAGTTACTTTTATAAAAGCACATTTCCTTCTTAAGTAATTAAAAGTTAGTCAAAGTTTGCCTATATTATAAAAACAGAAGATTGCCTTACAATTTATTTATCATTTTAGTTGTCTTACTATTGAAGAAAATAAACAAGAATTTATACAAAGACAAGTAGCAACAGAAAGATTTATAGTTTCATTTTTACTTTTTTTTTTTTTTTTCTTTTTTCCTCATTTCTGCAGCGATGATTCCCATTCTGACCCATATGAAGACCGGGCCAGTGAGAGCTTGAGATACACTCAAGGCAATCTTCCCCATCATGCTTATCAGAGCCAAGAATCGGAGAAAGAACGCAGACACCATGACCAAGGTCTTCTCACCACTGCTCAGAGCCTCTCTCAAAATTTTCCAGACAGTGAATGTACTGATCAAGACCTTAGAGATAAGCATTTAAAAGATGGTCTTGAAAATCATATTGAGACTTTGGATAACTCTGAAGACAACTGGAAAAGAGATGGAGGCCTGAAACAAGATGGGGGTCTTAATTCCCAGAGTCAGTGGTCTGAGGCCAGTTCCAGCAGCAGCGTCAACCAGCCATCTGAGACCATTGGTCGGATATTAACTCGCAGAACTGGCCCCATCAAGAAACCAGTTCTTAAGGCTCTTAAACTGGAAGACAAAGAGAATGAAAAGCCTAAATCTGAACCTGAGGAAAAACCTGTGCCCTATCGCCTGGAGAAGGAAGTCCTTACCAATGTTTATGACTTAAAGAAAGATAACCAGGCTACCAGCAATAGGCGTCCAGCTTCACCTGTTGCTGAAAAACCGTCTGAAGAAAGGCGGCGCCAGTCACCAGTTCCTACTAAAACAGACAGGCCTCAAAGCACCCATAGTGACGATTTCCCAAAGGAAAGCACCTGGGGCACTGGCAAAAGCCAGATACCTAGAGATAATCGGGAAAACCGAGAACCTCAGGCACCACAACGCAATAATTGGATCTTCATTGATGAAGAGCAGGCCTTTGGTTCCGTCAGGGGTACAGGTAGAGGTCGCAGCCGAGGCTTTAGGGAATTCAATTCTCGTGGTGGAACCCGTGGTGGTCGAGGTGGAGATACCCTCAGAGGGGCCTATAATAATGGCAATGGTGTGCTGAGGCCAGCCAGAGGTCGAGCAACACCCAGGGACCTTCTAAAGGCTGATGAGTATCAGAGGGGAAGACCTCGCAGGCGAAATGTTAGCGAGACTTTAAGTGAAGCATCTGAATATGAGGAACTTCCAAAACGACGCAAACAGAAAGGAACTGAGAATGGAGAAGGTTTGACAGAGTCCGGAGAAGTTCGTAAGGCTGATAACGACTCTTGGAGATCCAACAAGATCTACACAGATGAGCATGCATCAGATTCCAGAGAAAAGGCCAAGATGAGGGGCTTTGGAGGCCGCGTTTTGCCTCCCAGGCTGAACATCAGTGGTAACTACAATCGAAGCTTTGGGGGATCCAGAGACATTTCTACATGGAGGGGCAGAGGGCCCCAGTTTGGCAACAACAGTGGCTCTGTGCAAGAGAATGGGTACGGTCCTGGAGTAGAGGCTGCTTATTCCCGCAGACCACCAAATGAACGTGAGGCTTTCAAGTACACTCCTAAATTTACAGGCTCCTTTATGGAAAATGGCTCTGAGGACCGTGAGGGAGAATACTACTTTGAGAATGAGAACCCCGACAGACAGCTGTTAAGAAGGCGCCGTCCTCCACGTCAGGACAAACCTCCCCGCTTTCGTCGTCTACGACAAGAACAGGAACCTGGATCAAACCAGTGGACAAGTGATGAGCACATAAATGGAGACTTTGCAAATCCATGGTCAAGTCGCACCAAAGGCAGTGGTGATGACCACTGGCCCAGTGGGCAATTTTCTGGACATTCCAGCCAGCATGGTCACACAGAAGAATGGGAAACAGGATCAGACAACAGTGACTTGGGGGATTGGAAAGAGAAGCGAGGTGGAAGTGGAGGCGTGGCTTCTCAAGGACACATTGACATTCCCTCAGATTCTGGCCACAGTGAACCAGGCTCTGGTGAGAAGAGGGAACTTTCAAAGAGAAGCTTCTCCAGTCAGAGACCACTGGTGGAGCGACAGAACCGGAAAGGAGAGCCATCAATCCTGGAAGTAAGCAAGATGATACGCACACCTGATAATCTCCCCCCTTCATCTAACCGGAGTGACAGCTGGCAGAATGGAGGGACTTCTTGCAAAAGGTGAAACTAGTAATTATATTATTACTATAATTTGTTTGGGTGATAAAATAAAAAATAAAACGTTTTTGTTTTGTCACCTTTCTGTTTGCATCAGGAGCCCAGATGAGTCTGGACCAGTTTACTGTGTGGAGCCACCGCCAGAGGACAGGGAGCCCAGCGAGCCCTCAGGGAAGAAATTAGACAAGGAACTGAAACCAGGACCTGTCAAGACTGAGTTGGTTGAATCTCTCTCCCAGTATGAGCTCAGTGGTTACTCAAGTGAGTTTTTCTTAAAAATTTCTCTTGGATTTTAGTGTTGACAGAAGTTAATCAAAGCTTGTTAAATTCAAAGTGTTAGCCAATTTCCCAGAAAACTAAGAATGGCTTTTACTGCTGTTTTTGGTTTTAAGATCATTATTTTTTTTATTCAGTTAAAAAAAAAAACTGCTGGTAGTTTGTGATGTCAACTTATCAGATAATAGCAAGCATTACAGTTGTTGCAAATCAACAAATATCTTTGCACTGATGGCCCACCTGTTTTGTAGTTGATGGTGACTCAAGGGGACGAAGTACAATCCCAGATGGATACCAGGATGCCTTGTTAAAAAATCAGCGACGTCCACAGGAAGATGAGAGGAGGAGAAAAGAACAGGCAGCCTCTGTAAGATAAAAATATGCTCAAACTTTATGTTTCAAATTTAATTTGACTTCTACTGGGGGGGGGGTTGAGACTAATGTTCATTTCTGAGTATAGAATTTGGCAGTATTTGATGAGCAGTTTGGACTGAGTAAGCACCAATCCACAAATGGTTTTAGAATTGAACACATCAACAAAAAGCAAGTTTACACAAAACAGAGAGAAAAAACTACAGTTCACCATCTCTTACTTTGCATATTAAGAATTTCTTTCCTGGCATTGCATTTCATGAGCTTGATAAACCCGAGTAAAGTTTAGATGCAAACACAATCCGACATTGCACTGTTGCCATCCTTACTTGAAGCTGTTTTAATTAGGCTGGATCACATGTGAAGCACAAGTGATAACTCATACAGTGATTTTAAAGAAGACAAATGTGAAATATGGTAAATGTATGAAATACACAAAACTGCCAGACAAGCAGCTCTGAACACTTGAATCAGTTTGAGTAATGTAAGCAATAACACCAGTCAAACTTCCAAACTCTAAATTTCTGAGTCAGTAGCTGTCAACTCAGATAAAAAAAAACTCAAAAGTGATCGTGGACTTTTGTATACAGATGGTATAGCACTGTTAAAATGATCTTGACTCAACTCCCAACGGCTCACAGAAATCCTATGTTCTCATGATGAGCGATTAACTCACCCTTTTTACTTTTTATTTATTATAAGGCTGTCTGTCCTGCATAAACTTTCTCTTTCCATTTTTTATGAGGTGGATAATGAGAAAGACACTTTGGCTGGCTTTGTAGCTTTCAGTTTAGCAACTAAGAGCAAGATAACAAAGTCTAGGCCTTAGCAAGCTGAGTTAATTGGATCTATTATCTGTTTGTTAGTTGGCTGACCTGATTTTTAGGACTGAAAGAAGCTCTTGTCAATACTGTCTCTTAAAAGGGTTTGATTGCAAATTATTTTTATTTTTACTTTCAACGCAACAAACATGTTTGCATGTTTCTATCAGAGCTCTTTTTAACAACTATGATAAAGTGTATCTCATCTAAAATAGAAATGTGTCACCCACTGTTATCAATTACCCCAATTCTGTCAAAATCAATAAAAAAATGCTTTGACCAAATTATTCTCTGATACTTAGAATCTGACTATGATACTCAAATAAGCCCAAGATAAAACAGGCTTGATTCTGACTGCTTAATAAAATGAGTTAATAGATTTTCTTGATGCATTTGTTTTACTGTTTATACAATCACATATGAACCAACAAAAGCACTGATATTTAATGAAAGGTCAAGCAAACTGTTCAAATTCATCACTAGTAGTTATCTAGTCATTTTTCACAAAAAATATCAACATCATGCACTTTAAAGCATCTTTTCCATCCACCTTAGGTGCTGGTCAAAAGCAGGACAGTTGTCTCTAAGATACCACCACGCTTTGTCAAAAAGCAAGGAAGCATGAACATCGAACAACCTGAGGAAACCATTTCTTCACCAAACAATCTAGGAACTGAGATCTGGGAGACGAACAGTTCAGGTAGGAAAGTGCTTGATACATTTGTTGATGCTGTTAACCAAAAATACTAAATATGCTTGTGTTTTGTAGCTCTTTCAGTCCAGTCTTCAGGAGGAGATTCGTGGACAAAACAAGTGTCTTATACCGGTAGTGAACCCAACTCGGAGGTATTGCCGCCTGCTGAATTAAAATGTTTTTCCTCTCAAGCACAGCTATTTATAGCCTGGAGAAACTTGAACAGATTAACAGCTTTTGTTCATTTCATTCAGGATTCTGATGCTGGCCCAGAACAGAGTAAAGAACAGCACAAACCAGGGCCCATCGGAAACGAACGCTCCTTGAAGCACCGTAAAGGCTCAGAAGGTGTTGACAGGCTGGAAAGTGGACCCATTACTCCTGTCAACGGCGTGGATCTTCACGTGGACTCGGTGCTGCCGGTGCCTCCGATAGAGTTTGGTGTTAGTGCCAAAGACTCTGACTTCAGCCTTCCACCGGGCTCCACCTCAGTGCCCGTTTCTGATCCCGTTAACAAGCTTCAAGCACTTGCTACTGACGTGAGCCTTTTTTTACAGGATCGTTATACATAAATAAAACTAGCTGTAATCTAACTGTGTCAGATGTCAAATACAGGCCAAACAAGAGTGAAATAGTTTAACATATTTTGACGAGAATAGAATAAAAAAAAAATTTAAATAAATTTTGTTGATGTGCAGCTGAATGTTTTTAATATTTTTTTCCCCTTTCATCAGACATCTCTAAATCAGAGTATTCCTATGTTGCGTTCCAACCACCTGCAGCCTGGCATTGGCCTCAACACCATGTTCCCCAGTGCTGACCTCACACTAAAGGTATGTGAAATTTAATCCTTCATATAAATACAGTTTTAGTGACAAAGAATAATATGCAGCACTAACATCTAAATAAATATATTTCAGCATTGTGGAAGTTAACATGATAAATAGCATTTTCAAATGTGCCTTTATGTTTCACTTGTAAATGACTCTTCGAGGCTCAGTGTGATTTATCTGTAAAAATAAAGGTTGAACAAATGAAAAATGTTTTGTTTTTCCACAGATGGAATCTGCACGCAAGGCGTGGGAGAATTCTCAGTCCCTCCCCGAGCAGGGCTCCCCAGGTGGAGGTGTTTCAGGTGCTCAGCCTCCCTGCAGCGCTGGTTCTTCCACTGGTGTCAGCTATAGCTCTTTTGGGGTTTCCATGCCTCCGATGCCGGTTGCATCAGTGGCACCTTCCATGTCCATGCAAGGTAGAATTATGGTTTTATTTTCAGTTATATAAAGGCTCAGTCTTGACAAACTAAACTAAAATAGTTTTTCTTCTCTTAACGTAGGTAGTCCTATCCCCCCTTTGTATATGGATGGCCATGTTTTTTCAAGTCAGCCACGCCTTGTGCCTCCCACTATGACCCAGCAGCAGACCTATACACAGGTAGAAAAAATACACACACACACACGAGTGTTTGTCAGTCAGCAGGTTCATGTACTGTTACACATCCTCGTCCTTGCAGGCAGCTGCAGCCCAGCAGATACCCATCTCTTTACACACATCTCTTCAGGCTCAGGCTCAGTTGGGGCTTCGAGGAGGCCTGCCTGTCTCTCAGTCTCAGGAGATGTTCAGCTCCATCCCTCCGTTCAGGTACTAGCAGCTGTGGTCACACTGATTTGTATCACAAATGTCTTAGTCACAATAGATTTCTGTAAATAGTTAAAAGATAGTTTCACTGCAGCTTAAAATAACAAAGTCATTTTTGTGCTCATCTGTCCCAACTCCTTTCAGGTCCCAGGTTTACATGCACCCCAACTTGTCACAGCCAAGTCCCATGGTGCTGTCCGGTGGAGGTCCTCTCAAAGGACCTTACTCAGCTTTTCCTGGTATGCAGCCTTCAGACTTGGTGAAACCACAGTCAGGCTCACACTATCAGCCTTTGAATGGCAGCCAGCAGCTAATGTACGACAGCCAGATGAACCAAGGGCCCGGAATGGGTTCTTCACAACTGATGGACTCCCAGCTCATTCAGGTCAGCTCAGTTTTACAACAGCCTAACATATAATGATACTATTTTTATCTTTACATTTCCTAAGTTGATTTAGCAATAATTGTATGACTGTTAACACAACTGCGGTATTTCATTTGTTCAGGTGACTATGCCCCTTCCTGGCTCTCAACTGCGCTACGGTTCAGCTCAGCAGCTTCTTCTCCCGCAGTCAATTCAGTTGCAGCAGGGACAGAATCTGTCAGTAGGAGCTCCACGCCGAATGTTGCCACCCGGCTCCCAGCCTGCTGTCATGACTGGCAGCAGAGAGGTGGGTCTCACTCAACTTCATATTACAGAACTGTTTTTGCAGGTTGTGTCCACCTGCACTCCTAGTGTAAATAAACCCTCTACAATTATGTATCTAACAACTGTCGTTTTTGTTGTCCTGCTTTAGGGCTCACAGATGGAAATGAAAGGTTTCCAGTTCTCTGAAAAGCCCAATCATTCCCCGGGTCTATCTGGAGGTTCCTACAGGTAGGTGAAAATGTTTTGTTCAAGTGATAGAAAATTAAACTGTATATACAGATAAAAATATCACAGTGCAAGAATTGGAAATTGTGCAAAAAAAAAATAATTTGTTTGTGTCTTTTATCCTCAGACCTGGTTCTGCTAGCCCAAGCGGGAAGCCCTCTGGCCCTGGTGGACCTGTGGTACCTCTGCCTGCTCATTTTACTCAGCAGGTATGTAAGTTGAGACTTTTTTCCTTTTTTTTTTTTTTTTTTGTTTACTAAACAATTGTTTTAATGAAAAATGATACAAACTGAAGTATTTCAACCATATCTAAAGATTTATTAAGGAATTTAGTAAATCTACGTATTTGCATGATAATTGTTTATTTTGTTTATTTCCTCTCCCATTAATCCATTTTTTCTTCTGTCGCCTGTAGGTTTCACCAGCTCAAGGCAGCATGGTAATGCACATGCGCCCACCCACTGGTCCTTTCCCCAATCCCATTCAGAGACCTGTCATGCAGGTCAACAAGCCCGTCATTATCCGTTCCCCCCTTTACCCTAATCCTGGCCGTGACCCTTCCCATTCTACCCCTCCTTTAGTCCCTGAGCCCCCAGTCAAAGGGCCAGAGGATGGCATGAAGGTGAGCCACCCCCTGTAAATATAGGTAATTTAATTTTTTTTCTATTTTCTTTTTCTCTATTTAAATTTATTGTATATTCTTTCAGGAATTCAAGTGAATTGTGCCAGTTTTCTAATGTTTATAGTAGCTGATTGTCCGAAGAGTAAAGTCTGTAAAAAATTGTACTGAAAATGCTTTATTAGAACATTTCTTTTGGTGATGTGACGCTCTTAATTACATCTTATCAGCCATTTAACAATTTACTTATATACAGGTGCACTTCAAAAAATAAGAATATTGTGAAAAGGTTCAATTTTTGTCAGTCATTTCAGAAAGTGAACTTGTACACAGTAGTTCCTCGCTACTTGGCTGTTCGTTTAACGAGGACTCGCTCTATCGCGGTTTTTCAAAGTAAGATTGGACATGACATACAAGTGATGGATGAGCCGCACGATTGGCATGGAATTTTTATTTCAAATGAATTATTTTAAATTATTTAACACCACCTGCACCTTTGTGCAGCTCCAAAGCTCCCTCTTGCAGCTGATCAGCTGAGCTCTGCTCTGCCTAGGAGAAGTGGGCGTGGCCAAGAGCAGCAGGCAAAGAGCAGAAATCATGGCATTCTGTGCTCTTGCAGAGCGTTTAGAGTTTAGAAACATTAAGAATATTGCAAGAGCATGGGAAGGGTTTATATATAATATATATATTATAATGTATAATAATATTTTATAAATACTAAAATAAACTACTACTTGCACTACTATTCCTACTTCACGGCTTTTCACTTATCTCAGGGCTTCAGGGTACGGATCCCCCATGATAAACGAGGGACTACTGTATTACATAAATTCGTTACACATAAAGTGAAATATTTCAGTCCTTTATTTCTTGTAATTTTGATGATTATGGCTTACAGATAATGAAAAAACTAAACTCTGTGTATTAGACTATTATAATATTATGAAGAGGTTCAATAATTTAAATGCCTGGTGTCACACACTAATCAGCTGATTAACTCCTGGACATGAGCTACAAATGTCTCATTCCTCGAGTCCAGCCGCTCCTGAACCAGACATGACGTCTGAAGCTTCTTACCTGCTGAGGAGACAAACTGGACTGTTGCTCAGTGGTCCAATGTCATCTTTTCACATGAAAGTAAATTTTCAAGTCATTTGGAAATCAAGGTCTCAGAGTCTGGATGAAGAGAGGAGAGGAATCCATGTTGCTTGAAGTTCAGAGTGAAGTTTCCATAGTCAGTGATGGTTTGGGTCCATCTGCTGGTGTTTGTCCACTGGGTTTTTTGAAGTCCAGTCAACGCAGCATCTACCAAGACCTTTTAGTGCACGTCTGTCATCCTTCTGCTGACGAGCTCTATGGAGATGCTGATTTCATTTTACAACAGGACTTGACTCCTGCCCACCAAAGGTGCCAAAAGCTGGCTGTAATATTCTAATTGTCTGTGAATTTAGTTTTTTTATTATCTGTAAGCCATAATCATAAAAATTACAAGAAATAAAGGCTTGAAATGATCCACTCTGTGCAACGAAGCTATGAAATATTAGTTTCACTTTCAGAAATAATTGACAAGAAAAATAGAACTTTTTTCATGTTATTCTAATTATTTGAGGTGCACCTGTATTTGGATTATCTAATGCTGATTTACAGTTTGATTTAAGAAATGTGTATGTTAAATGAAGTCATTTTATTTAACAGTTTTTGAGTGAAAAGCAGTCATTTTGAAATTAATATAAATATTTTTAACTGTGGGGAAATGTATAAAACCGTATAATTCATGTACTGTAAATCTGTGATGCAGTATTTTTACTCATGGCTCTGCTTTTGCTTTGTGTAAAGTTTTTAATAGCCCAACTTAAAGGTACTCATTCCAAAGTCAAGATGACAGGACAAAATAAAACTCTTGAACAAAGAAGCACAATCTGCACAATAATTTTCTGCTCTGGGTGATTAACGTTCTTTAAAAAATTGAGCAAAATTTGTGACTGAATGACCGTTATCACGTGCATTTGTTTACCTGCAGAAAGAGCTGAAGGTAGACCTGTCGCGATAAACAAGTCAATCATTTATCAACTTTATCGTTTCTTCGTGTCTCTTTCTTTCTCCTGAAGACACTGCATGACAAAAAGCTCAACTCTGGTGATCTTCATTGACCTCTCCCTTTCTCTTTTCTCTTTAAAATCTGTTTTAACCGTCCTAAATCGCATTTTTGGATCGTTAAAATCAGATAAGCTGTGACGCTAAGCTACGAGCTAAGCTAACAGGCCGACCTCAGACTGAGGAAGTCTTTCGGATGAAAGATGAAACGTTTCTACAGTTGTTGGGGTTTTTTTTGAATGTCCAGAGGACCAGATTGAACTTTTTTTTTTAGATTTTTCTACCTGGATTATTGAGCATGCATCAGGATAGAGGAAATAATCATTATTAAGCCTGTATTATTGAAAAACTAGATTGTCTGGCAGTGAACAGTCTGCTTTTTCTTTGTGTAGAGTAAGACATTGCGAGAAATGCGCAAGGCAGTGAGGGAGGGCACGTCGCCATCCGGGGGCTTGACCAGCAAACTCCAGGAGCCCCTAACCTCCACGGGTCAAGCCAAACCAGCACGCACTGGAGCCATCAAACCCCAGGCTGTCAAAGTGGAGGAGGGTAAGGCGTAACAATGGACCTTAAAATCCTCATCGCAGCCGAGCCTGCCAACACAAAGCTGCTTGACCGATGGCCGAGCCGCTCTAAACCCAGCTGATCCCGAGGCTCCAAGGCAAGGGGCACACACAGGCTTCTTGGACTTCCAGAACTGGACACTATTATGTCACCCCGAGTATAGAGATATATAAATATAAAATATATAAATATATATATATTACACATACACACAGACCATCTTTTATTCAGATCTCTTTGCGTTTCTCTTTAATTTATTATTAGACCCTTTTAAAGAAGAGATTAGTTCAGAGAGACCAGATGCTTTGTGATTTTCTTGGTAAGCGGAGAAAATAAAAAAAAAACTCACATGGTTCACTTTTCATACTGTTTTCTGCCAAACTGTATTCACTTCCTGTATATGAACTGTAGCCCTCAGATCCAGAACCTTGAGATAAATGTACTTTGAAAAGCAGAGCGTTATTATTATTATTTTTTTTAACTACGTTGAAATGCAGTGGGGCACGTTTGTCATTTTCGTTCAGACTTTGCTGGTAAATAAAAGTTGACTTCATGACCACCCATTCAAGCCACATGTGAAGGACTTATTTTATTAACGAGTCAAATAAAAAATAAAAAAAGAAAGTTTTTGAACATCCAAGCATGTCAGCTTCGCAAAAGTCAAGTTTGTCACCCTAGAAACGCCTCTGGGTGTAATCAAAGTTATGGTCAAACTGCTTATATAGCTAGAAATGTTTCTTCTTTTTTTAAAGCTGTTTTATTTTTCTGTTCTTGTTGCTCACTGTTACACATTCAAACTGAAAGGAAAAAAAAACAACAACGAACATTTGCCAAAATCATGTTGCTTCCAAGGGATCTTCACCGGCGTGTGCATGCATTGAGCAGAACGAGCATAAACCCGCAGGACTCCCGTCTCGAAGCTGGCAACGTGTCGCAAAAAACTGAACTCTGCGTCCTCTGTGTGGATTTTGATCAAGCTAGCTGGCAGCAGCCGGACTCGCCGCAGACATCGAGGGCGTTTTGGAGCTTCACGGACGCCGTTTGAAAACGCTCGTTGAAATGATCGCTTTCGTATCGCTTCGCTTTGGTTGTTCTGAATGAATTTATCTGTAAATGAACTTGTGATTGAAGTGATTTGTCCCGTTATCTGAACTTTAGGCTCCTCTTTAACTTTTAGTCAGATCCTCTTGGACTGTGCTGCGGGGAATTTTGAAGGAACTTTTTTTTTTTTTTTTTTTTTTAGTTTCTGAAGCAGCACCAGCAATAAATACAACCCAACTATAATTATAATCTGTGGGCCAATAATTTATTAAAAATTATCACACGTATTAAGCATTGCTTGTGGAAAAAACAAGGTTTTCAGTCGATTTTTAAAACGTACAAATGTGAAGCTGTTTACCCCATCATGTTTATTTTCTTCTGGGGGGAGGAGTTCTTTATTTCACAGCACTAATGTCTTTACCATTAGATGTTACCGCTTTATGCTACAAGACACTACAAAATGTTTTTCACTGGTTTATATGTAAATGCGTACCTGTACAGTTGAGCCTTGCCCGTGAGGGGAGGCTTCAAACATTTCATTTTAAATATTGTGGCACTGTAAAGAACTTGTATGGCAGGATTTTAAAAAGCAAAAAGGTCACCGTGTTCTCAGAATGGGCTGCTTTTACTTAATGAGGCTTAGTGTTTTTTAGTTTTCTTGCTGCGAAATTTCTTGATGCTTCTCATTGTATCTGCACCAAAATGCTGCCCCGACCTCCTTTTTTGTTTTGTACTTTAAAGATGCACATTTCTTTTTTTTCTTGTCAGAGGACCAGTACTTTCTACATCTGATCCAATATTTGTTTATCCTGCAACAGATATTTGGTCATTACTCATCCTTGTTTTTTAAAAAAGGAGCTTATTAGTGGGAAAAATAAAGCACTTGTGATTTTTTTTTTTATGTATTGTTGATTCTGTGTAGTCACTTTGGTATCAAAGCCTTAATGTTTTAATAAATTCAAAGCAAATCTTAAGTTTTGTAAGTAACACATCCATGTATTTTAGGTTTTAGTGTATGATGACCAAGAGGGGTCAATGCATCAGCGTTGCCGCTGAACATGAGTGTTGCCTGCTTAAATATTCATCATGCCACATGCTGAAAGCAGTTTCCCTTTGGGTTATAAATATATACGTTGTGCTCATCTTACTGCCTCAGAAATACTAAAGTTCTGAAATCCAAGGAGCCCTGCCCTTCATTTGTGCTCTTTTTGTGCAGAACATCATGACATCTTCGAACATAGCTGTGGGTGAGGATGTACTGGTTTTTAATAAAGAGAAAATAATTAAATGGTGATTTTCCTGCTGGAACACTTTGTGGACTGTATTTCGGACAATATGTCAAATCAGAAAACGCTGAATGGATTTTGTGAAGATGGAGAGAATACAAGCGTCCGTTTTAGAAATGTCTGCTTACCCGGTAGTTAGGAAGCAAAACAAGGAAAAAAAAGTTGGAGGTGGTCTATTATAACATTTAATGTAGTTTTAAAGTATACTCTGACTTGATTCTGTTTGTGAAGGAAGGTGGTATATAATGTAATTCAGCTCTTTAGATTTATAGGTTTGCTTTTCTGCATAAAGGCGACATATTTAGGACCTCATTTTACTTTCAAGGAAGTCAATGTTGGCCGTGTTTCAACATTCTTCGTCATTCTATCACGTTTGGTACATGTGGGTGGAACAAAATTGTGTAAACGGGGTCCCAGTTACATCCAACAAAAGTATTAAAACATAAAGAAAAAGTAATAGGATCTAGAATATGAACTAAGAAATTACCAAAACAATACGCCGAACAGCAGCACGAACATGAGTCCGTGTGATCAGAGGAGTACGAATGAACACAGCAACATGATGTGATTTTTAACAGTGATTGTCTTGGTTAGATGTTCATGAGTCCTAACAGCCTCAGGGTAGAAGCTGTTCCTCAGTCTAGTGGTTCTACACTTAATGCTCCTTAACCTGAGGGGAGCAGGGCAAAAAGTGTGTTCTGGGTGAGTGGGGTCCTTCATGATGCACATGGCCCTCTTCCTGCATCTAGAAGTGTAGATGTCTGTGATGGTGGGGAGGCTGACATCAACAGTCTTCTGTGCAGCCTTATAAGTTTATTTACTGGTATATTTACTAAAGATTAGGGGCAACGATGCAAAAAAAAAAATTTTTTTTTTCTCCTGAATTCTGAGATTAAAGTCAGAATTAGGTGAATTCTGACTTTAATCTCAGAATTTTGACTTTTTTCTCAGAATTAAGGGGAAAATAATATTGCATCGTGGCCCTAATCCTCTTCCGTAGCTATGCAACTAAAAATCTTAAATAGTTAAGAAAATAATGGGACTAACCTGTTTATAAATAAAGGTTGAATTGTAGCAGTATCTGAATAGTATCAGATAAATAGTGTTAAATTATTCTTTTTATGTGTGAATGTTTCTGTTCAGTGCCCTGAGATGACTTCTGTTGTAATTTGGCGCTGTATAAATAAACTGAATTGAATAAAAAAAAAAAAAAAAGGCTTGTTGCAGTAGCACTGAAAACAACTGAAGGTCTGTGAACGCACCATGACGTCATAAAGTCATTCCGGAGATTTTTATTTTTTTTCGGTGCAAAAAGGCGAGTTTGGACAGGATGAAGAAAGTTTTCTCTTTGTGACTGCGAAAGAGGAAGACACGAAGTTAAACTCTTTATTTATCGCAGGTCTTCCTCCGTTAGACGTGTCTCCACTGCAGATAAGCAAGGTAACTTCTGTTTTTGATCCTTCAGCTCCAGAAATGTGACTTTAAATGCTTTGAAAACTACCGTTCCGAGATCAATTATTTATCCCCATTTTTTGGATCAAAATGACAATAAAATGCACCTTTTGACCATGTAGACCATTTATTTACTACAATAACTTATTTTAATGCTTAATCTCCTGGTTTAATTCTGGGACACTTGACTTTTTATAGTTTGCATTATTAATGAAACCTTAAAAACAGTTTGCAGGTTTTACTAAGTGATCATTTGTACAATTAAAAAAAAATCAATATGTTGTTTTTTTTGTTTGTTTTTAATCATAACATTTTTAAATTGTTTTGATTATTGTTGATATTTTAATGGGGCTCATTATTAATGGGTCATTTTGATCCAAGGGCAGCAGGAGTGTTTAATAATAAAATGTATCTTTTTTTTTTCTTTTTTTTTTACTGAGTAAATGGATCTTATTTTTCTAAAAAAAAATAAAAATGTAAACAAAATGCTTGAGTTTTCCACTTATGATGTAAATTAACAAATAAAACATGTGTTTACATCACAAAAAGGAGATTAATTAATTACAAAAGTACATTTTACAGCTCAGCCTTTACAATCACCAAAAGACAAGACTACAGTTAGTATTAAAATAAATTATAAGTGATTTTAAGAGAGAACTTATGGGGAAAATGTAGGGAACAATATCAAAATCTACAGTAAAATATAGAGTTTTTCCTCATGCTGTGGGACTACGTAGTTGCTTCTGGTACAAATAAGTTTAAGGGACTAAAAAGACACTGAAGCATTTTAGAAGAAAACCTGTTTCTAAATGTAAAAGCCTATTTCAGGATTACCACTGTTCTTTTTAATGTTGTGTTTTCTTTTAACAGCTGTTCTCTTTCATAGCATTTGTTTCGTGTCTCGCATTGAAACGCCCTCAGCGTGAATTCATCAGAAGCTCCTGTTACATTACACCAGCCAGGATGTCTGTGTCAAGGAGGGCAGTGACCCTCCCCCTATATAAAGGGCTGTTGCTGCACTGAGTTTATTCAAAAATCTCCTTGCAGCGAGCAGAAGTTCCCATCGGCTCTCTCGGGGTCTTCCTCTCAGAGCTTAGCTAAACTTTGGATGCATGTGCAAGCTGGGCGTTTTGCACTGCATCAGCACGGTACCGCACAGAGTAGCTGTTCATCTGTAGCAATACCGTTAAAAAAGTAGAAGTACTTCTTTAAAAAAAACACCAACTAGCAGAAGCTGGAACTAGTTGGGGCGACATATGCAGGGTCTCGTGTCGAGCTCGATCGGCTTCATGACGGCAGCTCTCAGATGTGGATTCGGAGCTGCCCTTCTCGGACGACGATGAGGATTATGACTCTTTCGGGCACGGGCCAATCTGGTCATCGAATCCCATCCTCGCCTGAACAGGAATTAGACCTGCACGACGTGTGCAAACACGCCACAGCAAAGCTCAACGTCCAGTGGTCTGAAGTCTAAGCCGAGACGGTTTGCTCACGTTTTGACGGGAAAAAATTGCCAAAAGCAAAGAAAACAGGCAAACGAGGGAAGAGATTTCCTCGCTGTTAAAAAAAAAATAGAGCAATAAGTTTAATTCCTCACGAACGCAGACGCAAGAGATTTTAGGAGCTTTTAATGAAATCACACTCCCATCCTTGTGGGAGACGCTCGTGCTACTCACAAAACCAGAGTTATGACACTAACCTAAAGTTCTGTGACGCAGGATGGCAAAGAAGTGTGCAGCCAAGCCAGATGAAGGTCTGATGATGATGCAGGAGCTTGATGACCGGCTGAAAGAGCAGATTGACAAACTGGAGCACGTTCGTCTTGCTGCTGTTGAACTGAGAGACAACTTCTCTGGGGTACATTAGTTAGAATCCTCTTCTACAGTCAACAAATTCAATCAACTACCTGTACTCTGATATTGTTGGCATGATTTCTTTTTCCTAATCCAGACCACCAGTGATCTAACCCAGTCTATTAGTGACCACCTGGAGTGGCTAAATCACTTGTCCGAGCGAGTGGAGACTCTCCATGTGAACACATCAGTTTTTATTCAGGTGGGAACGGAAAGAAACTTTCAAAATAAGATGTTTTATTTAAGTTGCCAACATGGAAACAGTTTAAAATTCATCATTATTGTCTATAGGACTGTTCATTTTTATATGCCCATCAAAAGGTAGACGTACTGTAGTACAGTATAATAGTTTAATCAATGGGCGTATAATGTGCCGTATGCTGTACCCTTGTTTTTTTTTTCTGCTCCAGATGAATCCAAAACCTCGTACATGGACATCGAGACATGGTTCCAGACATGGCTACCACCTCGGACGTCCCCACCAGGCCGATGATGCCCTGTCTGAGTTTGGCTGGTCCCCCCATACAAGACGTAACAGTGATGCAGCCTCAGAAATGTCCTGTAATTGGTGACTGTAAAACCTGCTTGCAACAGAAAAATATACAGTAATTGTAAACCCTACCAATATATCAGTAGTGTATTTGTGTAAAGTTTAACCTCAAAACGAATACATGTATCAAAATGTCATTGTGCGCTTAGTTTCATTAAAGAGTTCATGAAGCTAACTGAGACGTGTGTATCGCTGTGTCTCCTTACTGTTTATTCATAATTTACTGTATAATTTAATCATGCTGACAGTAACTCTGGATGTAGAATACGATTCATTTCTCACTAAAGCCCTCACCGATGACTGCATGTCGAAGCACTCAGGAGGTACAGCTTTATGATGCTGGTGTCCAATTGTGTGGACATGTTGGACTCCATTTTTACACTTTAATATACATGGACATATTCTCATAAAAACGTGTCCAGATTAACATTTTTGGTGCTATTATTACCTAATTTGAACTGGTAATAGGTAAGACTTGATGCTGCAACCTCATAATTTTTCAGTCCATCCCTTCATATGTATAAACAGAGAAAGGACATGTTCAAAAACAGGCAGCAGAGACTATTTTTAATTTTAATAGTCGTTTTGTTTTTTTCCATCTGTTGCCAAACTGACGCCAACCAGCAGGGGGCGCTGCTTTACGTCACGTCACTGTTGTCAAGCAGCCTGTTTTAAATAAAGCTTTGGCAAAACGCGTGTTGATAATTCTGGAAGGAGCTGACTCGCTCAAGTGTCATATCTGAAAGGCTCGCATTCAGCCCGACATATTTTCTTATCAATTAATATCCTTCCTAGTGCCGAGTAAAGCCCTGAGAACATGGCAGAAAGCGACTGGGACACAGTGACTGTGTTGAGGAAGAAGGGCCCCACTGCTGCACAGGCCAAGTCCAAACAGGTTCGTACTGTTTGGTTTGTGTTACGCGGCTCGTTGGATTTGATTCACATTGTAGCTAACAGAAGAGTAATGTCGATATTTATTGACAGTAAAAGCAACTGTAGCTCGTCTTTACGAGTCAGAATGTGGGAACTTCCAACAGCTAGGATTAGCTCCGCGTGCGAGACGTTTTCTTTTTGTAAACAGCTTCAAGTTTGGCTAACATGTTAGCCTAGCAGCTGCGTCGACAGGTAAAACCATCAAAATGTCACATTTTAGTTGAACCACCTCACCTAAAGCCTTCTTGGTGTTTTGTCTTATCATCATGCCTTTCACAAAACCGATCTGTATACAAACATCTCAAATATTCATCAAATATGTTGTTATTTTTAGGAAGACACGTGTTCAAAAGCGTACAAATTGTCCTTTAATGCTATTCTTTAGTTGGTTATTCAGTTGTATTATAATAAGACTAATAGTTAGGATTGTTAAAACTTCATTCTGTGTAAAAAATAAAATAAATAAATAAAACTAATTTTTTGTTATACCTGTACAGCTTTATGCCTAAAAGTATGCTAAATAATCCAGGTTGAGTTTATTCAATTTATTTATTTTATTTATTTAAATTTATGCCTAAAATAGATACAAAATCTTACTGAAAGTTGATGAATGCTTCGAGAAAATGTACTTTTAATATTAGAAATGAAGTAGATGGTTCCATCAAACCATATAGGTAAAGGTTAAAACTGTATTATGTATATTTGTACTTTTTACAAATGTACAAAGTACTTTGTATTGTAAAAAAAAAAATACTTTTAAATTAAAAAAAAAATTGTTTTGGTAAATAGTTGTCTTTTATAAAAGTGATTTTGAATTTATGTTCCCAAATTTTACATTTTGTGTGATCTACTCTTCAGTTTTGATGCCCACTTGTTTTAATTCTGGACACACGGCCTTCTGTGAAACAACTGTAGCTCATCTATCTATAATAGCTATAACCTAATGTTCATCAGATAGAAAGCTTTGCTTTGAGGAAGCTGAAGGTTTAGTCTGCTTGCAAAGGCAATGTTGTTGACCTGATGCCATTTTATTGAACAGAGTCAATATTCCCAGATAATATGATTTGTTACTCATTAGCTACATGATTGGAAATGATGAAGCAAAACCGGACAGGGTTTAACACGAGCCTGGTCATAATGCAATTTACTATCAATAAAACGTAATTTAAAAAACCCAGAAACATAACGTATTTGGTCCGTCTTTTCTCCAGGCTATCACTGCTGCTCAGAGACGTGGGGAGGACGTTGAGACTTCCAAGAAATGTAAATTTCCGCTATCTTTAATGGTTAATAAAAGGCTAAAAACAAATTATTTACAACTTCACATTATATCAACACACTTCTTAATTTCCTTTCCTAAAACCTGTGTTTGTACGCTTTACAACCGGTAAGATGTTTGGCATTACTTTGATCCGCTACTCGTCTCTCAGGGTCCGCAGGGCAAAACAAACAGCATCTGGTGACAAAAAATACAGCCAAACTGGACAGAGAGACGGAGGAGCTCCACCATGACAGGGTTCCACTGGAGGTGGGGAAGGTCATCCAGCAGGGCAGGCAGGAGAAAGGACTGACCCAGAAAGACCTCGCCACTGTGAGCAAACTCGAGCCTTATGCTAACACACATAGAAAATGAACAGCCGAGCCCTCCATCATGTACATGATGTAACACGCTTTGTTTTTATTGTAATAAACGTATCGCAAACTTTTCCTTCAGAAAATTAACGAGAAGCCTCAAGTTATCGCTGACTATGAGACTGGGAAAGCGATACCCAATAACCAGGTGATGGGCAAAATTGAGAGAGCTATTGGTAAGCACAAGATTTGATTCATGTTGTGAAAGAAAAAAAAAATCAAGTATTTAAAATGTTTGTTTTGCTTGTAATTAATTTTTCCTGCCAGGTCGAAAACTGCGTGGGAAGGAAATTGGCCAACCCCTGGAGCCAAAGTCCAAACAGAAATGAACACAAAGCCTCGAAATCAGCCCTTCCCAAAACCATATTTGATCCTCCAACTCTAAACTCCCCACTCCTCCCTGGGCTGATCTCAACCTGGTCCTGCCTGAGGACCTGGTGCTCCACTGCATCGCAGGTGTTTACTAACCAATCATCTGAAACACCCTGACCACGTAAACGTACATGATTGAATACGTCACAAACTTGAAAATGGGTGAATTTATTTTCGCTCGTGTCTGTTTAAGATTTTGGCATGATAAAATTCAACCTTCTGATTGTGGTAAGTCATTGAAAAGGTGAATTGTTTTTCATGATCGAACAGGTTTGACTAACTTTAAATCTGAGCATGAAGTGCTTGATTGCATCTTCTTTTTTTTTTTTTTTTTTTTTTTGTTCCCACACTTTAACGACAGTGGGTGGATGTTATTAAAGTGTTTAAAATGTTTTAATGATGTGCTTTGTTTTGATCTTAAAACAATAAAGTTTAGCAGTTCGTGACTTTTGAGTGGATTCTTAGCTGCTGGAAGTTGAAATTGTTACAAACAAGGCGCTCATGTGAAAACTTGCAGTAGCAATGTTGAACCGCTAGGTGTCAGTATAATACCAGCATTACATAGAGCCGATTCTAAATAACCTTGGGTTAATAAGGAAACACTACCACAGCCTTTAGAATATCTTAATTAAATTTTACTACTATATTTTAAGACAAACCAAATCTTCTGAAAGATCTAGCTGCCAAGTTTCACGTCTTATAGCCTAATTTGTGCCAGTAGAGAGCTTTTTTTGTTTTTCTTGGATATTTAGTGTTGCAGTTTATCAGTTTTAATGAGACTGAATGCATTCAAGGACTTGGTACATGATGCAACCTTCAATAACTGCTGGGGGATGAAGGAAGCAAGCAGGAGTAGAGCTTACTGATGAGATAAAATATATATGATTTCAGCACAGCTGTATTTTACGTGAACGTTGCTGTAAAAACGAGGTAACAGAAACCCGAAGCAAGAGGAAGCTGTGTTTCTCACAGGTCATGGTTTTCTTGATTGTGTCTACATCTGAAGGCAGTGACTGCTTATAATGAAATAAAACTGTTTATCCATGAACCCCCCTCGAGCCTCAGTTGACCCGCAGTCCTAAAGTGTAGAAACAAACTTAAAGGTGAACCAATCAAATCAATATGTGCATCTACAGCCTTTAAAATATGCAAACTCGGATGATACTGATATTGTTTTTAAGAGTTGTTATGAATCAAAGCAATACAAGATAACAAATATTGCTTTAACGCACAATACATTTAATAAGTGTGACGATTGGCTTTCCCTAAAAGGTTTTCAATGTGGGTTGAGTGAATATGTTGTTTTATAATCCATTGTTTCATTTAGCATTCTTTTGTGCTACAGTAGATTGCTGCTGCAAGGCCCGGAACCTGAATAAAATTCAATATATTTACATAGATCAAAAATCATCTCGGGACACTAAAGCACTAAAGTCCATTCACTCAGGATTAAATCCAATTACAGTTCATTCAATCCAATTTTAACAATGCATTCAGGGAAGCCCACAGATTGCATCAAATCTTTCCTTTGGTGTAAACTCCATCCAACGCAAACAAGGAGGTGATGGAAAGGAATGACTCCCTTTGAAGAGGGAGAAACCTGCAGCAGAGCAGGATGAGCAAGGCTAACAGGATGTGTCCAGATGTTTCTATGGGAAGACAACAAGTTCATGGCAGCAATAACTGCATAGACAAACATGGAGAGTAGAGAGAATAAAGTCAGCAGAGTAAAGAAATGTGGTCAGGTTGTCCTCTAAGCTTATAGTAGTATAACTAGAGTATAGCTTAGGAAACCCAAGCCAACCCTAACTATAGGATTTATCTTAAAGGAAAGTATTGGTGTCAGCCTCATGGACAGAAACTGGAAGTTGGTTCCACAAGAGAGGAGCCTGAGTACTGAAAGAGCTTTCTACTTTTAGAAACTATAGGAACCACAAGTAAACCTGAAGTCTTAAGAGTAAAGTGCTCTGTTAGAGAAATATGGGACAATGAAATATTTAATATCCGATGGACTTTGGATGTTGAAAGCTTTGTATGTTAGATGATTTTAAATTCTACTCAGAATTTCACAGAAAGCCATTAGAGGAAAGCTAAAATGAAAGAAATATGTCTCCTAACTGAATCTTGAACTTACTTTCGGAAAAAAAAGGGATATAATTTATTTTAAAGTTTTGATAAGCCACACTCGATACCTTCATAGCACTTCCACCTATGTGTTCTTCTTGTAATGGCCTTCTTTTATAATTTAAATTTACAATACTCTCAATTTCTAAAGAGTTTCTGTGACCATAAAACTTACCACAGCAAATCTAAACAGCACTTTTGAACCTTAACAAACGGTATATAATTATCCTTATACCAGGAGTATTATTGGAGCATCTCCCCTGCGTTTCTCTGTGGTTACCAAAGCACATGGATTTATGGATTTCCACAAGATCGTTTAGTTTTGTCCAATCAACTTCATTTATTTTGTTAACATGCACATATTTCTGCGTTTCAGGCCTACAGAAGAAATGCTGAGACAGATAGCATTTCTAAGCTAAAGATCAAGGTAAATATCAGTCCCAAGAGGTGATCTGCAACAAACGTGTCAGAAAATCATTACACTTCTAAAAGCAATAATCTTGAAAGAAAGATTGATAAGAGATTTGCATATTTCTCCCTGAATTGCCTGATATCCCTATATAATTAATGAAACGCGAATATGTACATACATATTCGCGTTGTATCTCGGTGCAATGCCAATAAAGTTTATTCTGATTCTGAAACAAGGGGAAATGTCTGTCTTTTGAGACAAAGTTGGAAAGACACATCTGGCATGATAGAATTTCAGTTATATGTGCATTAAATTAAACTAATTATAGTTTTCACGCGGGAACTTTATTGTAATTATATAAATGTTGTGCCAGGTGGGATGCTTTTGTTTTTGGAGCCCAGATTTGTTTCTGAAATAATGTATGCAACCTCCTGACCGGTTCACGAGGCAAACAAAGAGAAGACCTTGCTTTTGTTACCAGGGGGGGTCATTTGGATCCCTGCTCAACAGGCTCCTTCATGTGGGGAGTTGGTGTGTGTGGAGAGGAGACACGGACCGACGGCATTCCTTGAAATGCCATTCCATTGGCCAAAACACCATAGCAACCAAGTTCCACCTATGACAGGGGAGCAGCCAGTCATTTTGCAGGAGTGATGTGAAGCAGAAAGCCACATGGTGGTGGGGAGTCAGGAGCACCAGCGTGTGTGTGTGTGTGTGTGTGGGGGGGGGGGGGGGGATGGGGGTGATGGGGGAGAAGCCTCAGCAGTGTTTTGGCCTGAGGCTTCAAAGCTCAAATTAAGATTCCACTACATGACCAACCTGTTGTGTGGGTGGGAGGATGGTGACTTTCACAGCAGCAAATATTTCCACTCTGTTCTTTAGTTTATATGGTACCACTTTACAAAGGCTCCCCTTATAGATGGCTAATAAATAGTTTATAGATACATTATTAATTAATATATAAACACTTTATGAATCATTAATAATTGTTTATTATGCATTAATTAAGGGTGACAGAGACAAAACTGACTAATTTCTTTCCAAATATTGAGCCAAATCTGCCACCTATATATTTCATGTAGAGTTGTTATATTAAACATTTCAGACTAAGTTACTACCTTGGAGTGGCGGCACAGAGGTTAGAAAAAGTGGGCCTGTGATCGGAAGATTGCTGGTTCAACTCCCGATACTGACAACACCAAAATGTGTGTGAGATAGGTGAGTCACCCAGGCCCTTTACCCCGGGCGCCCTGGATGGCAGCTCTCTGCTCCACATAGAAGGCCATGGTAGCTCGGTGGTCTGTGGTTGTGTCAGGAAGGGCATCCGGCATAAAAATAATTACCATGTCTTGGTGCGACTTGGTTCACTGTGGTGACCCCTCAAGAGGGGAGAAGCCAAAAGAAAAAGACTAAGTTACTATCTTGTGAGCACAATAACGAGATGGGGTAGAGGCAGAGCAGCCGACCCAGGACCCGAAAGTCCCAGGCTCGATCCCCAGTCATTGCACATCTCGTAGTGTCTCTGAGCAGCACACCCTATCCTCAATTGCTCCCCTGGAGCTTTCAATAGCTGCCCACTGCTCCACCTGGTGGTGTATGGGTTAAATGCAGAGAGCCAATTTCACCATTGTATGGGAACATACATTGATGATAACACATTATTATTATTATTATTAAACCTATTTTTTTTTAGAATATAATGTCTTTTCTGGCGTATAAGTCAGGTTTTCTTTAGATTTGCCAGTCTTGCGACTTATATGCCAAAGCGACTTATATACGTTTTTTGGTCCATATTTATAATGCAATTTTTGACTTATGCTTTAAATGTTCATTCATACTGACATGAACCAGAGTAAACATTACCATTTGCAGCAGCTAGAGGTGTAAGATGGACCTCTAGGCTTTGGACAACTACCGGTAGACGTATATGCTGTTCCTGTACTGCTGCCCCCGCCAAACATTGACCATTAAAGTGCATTTATTAAAGAAAAAGTTAAACTGAGACACAACTTTGCTGTGATGTCAAGCAAACAAATAACTGTTTTTAAGTGTTAATCTTATTAAATTTTGAAGAACTGCAACAGCGAGTCCTCCCGTGCATGCTCCCGCGGCCATTGATCGATTTTTGGCACGACACCAGCCCACGTTTCCCAGGGGTCAGAGGTGATGCATAATAAATGAAACTTATACGCTGAAGTGACTTATATGTTTTTTCCTCTTCATGCTTTTTTTGACTGATGTAACTTGTACTCCGGAGCGACTTATATGCCAGAAATTATGGTAATATTAGTTGTAGACACTTATAATTATGCAGTGATAAAGTACAATACCATACTCTAAAAAAATAGGTTTACAAATGCTTATTGAGCTTAAGTCTGAAATATTTAATATAACAACTCTAAATGAAATATATAAGTGTCAGATTTGGCTCACTGTTTGGCAAGAAACTAGTCAGTTGTCTCTCTGTCACCTTTATTTAATGCATAATAAGCGATTATTAATGATTTATAAAGTGTTTATACAGGAATTAATAACATATCTATAAACCATCCTTAAGCATGACGTGTTTATTGATGATGTACGCCAGATCTTCATACCAAAAAATAAAATCCATCAGATGTGACAAAATATATGCACGGTTTATTGAAAGGCATAAATAAAAAGAGGCACACAAAATGGTTTAGATCAGTTCGGCGTTAGTTCAGACCACATTTTTCTTTTCTTAACCGTCGGAAAACGTCTCGAACAAACACGTTTAGTTGTGTCGGGAGATTACAGAACAGAAAATCCAGTTTAAACTACAAGAAAACAAACCATCTCATAAATATTAACTGCAGCTCATATTCGTGGCTATTTTAATGACCTGCTCACATTTGTTCGTGATTATCATCTACAAATCACTGTACAAAAACGGTTACTGAAACATTGTGTGAAAGGCCAGTTTCACAAAAGGACAAAACAATCCTACATATTTACACGAGTCATTGTAACATAATACAAAGAACTAAAGGCACTGAGACAAATGGCAGCACATTTCAACATGGGATTAAAAGGAAAAACACTTAAAAAAAAAAAACCTTTTTATTTCATTAAAAAAATCTGGACTGCTTTGATCGTTTTGGCAAGTGAATCGATACCCACAGAAGAAAAGACATTCTATGGTTGAAAACAAAAAAAAAAGTTTGTTGTTTTCACAGTATGTGCTTATGTGAGAGAAAAGATGCAACAGCTCAAATCTACAAATGTTTATTATCTGGCAGCTAGATGGACAGAGTGAGCAGCACAGCTAGACATGAAAAAGCGTTACTGGGTGGAATAATGTTATCAGGCTGCCTCAGCGTCTTCACTAAACTTTAATAAATGCACAAAATACAGTGTGAGACAATAAACTTTGGTAAGTGCATTACCGTAATTTCCAGAGTATAAGTCGCTACTTTTTTTTTTTTACACGCTTTGAACCACATCTTAAATAATGCTGTGGCTAATTTATGTTGTTTTTTTTGACAAGCTAACGAGCTTCCTGCCACCAAAACATTTAGCTTCGTCGCACCCAGGCGCTCACATAGCTGCCCAATACACGCCTTTCTTGAAGGGGGGTGGGGTCCTCGTGACTCAATGGGACTACTTGTATTAATAAAAGTTTTAATTAAAAATCTGACCAATGAAATGACCAAACAGGTCACAGTGGACCAATGAAACTTCGAATCACCGTAAATCAAACGCACTCTCACTAAATTCTTCACATCGGTAATTTTGCGCTTCATGCACAGACCCACATCATGGAAGACAAACAAAGAAATGCAGATGATGCAGCTTTCAAGTTAAAGGCGATCGATCTGGCTGTCGAAGGAAATAGAGCCACGTAAGCTAGGCGTTTCCTGGCAGGCTGTTTATTTATTTTTCACCAGCCATGTTTACAGGCACTGTTCATAAAACAAACATTTACTGTACGTATCTGTATATGTTACCAGTACGTATTTAATTAAAACAACAACAAAAAAAATCTTTGTACATATCTCACGTTACAACGTAGACACCCGCAGCTTATAGACAAGTGTGGCCTATACATGTTTGTAATTTTTTATTTATTTAGTGGGCGTGGCTTACATTCGGGTGCGCTCAATAGTCTGGAAATTACGGTACTTTTTTCCTCAGTGTCGCTGCTACAAAATGGTTCTGTTTATTGCGAACAAGCGTTTATTTATTTATTTCCCCAGCCCATATGGGGGTCCTGTTGGTGTAAAACAGTGGAAGGATGGTTTGATGTAAGGCTCTCATGCATGCAGAAATAAGAAAAACATGTTTACAGTTCCTCCAGAGGATCACAGCATCTGGACCGGCCCAGAGTGTCGAGACATTAAAAGGATAGTCTGGTCATTTTTGAAGTGATGTTCAGTCAAATACTTAGTAGTTACTACCTTATCTTCCAGGTCATGGCTAATAAAGTACCAACTAAATACCTATTTGACAAAGCATCATTTCAAGTGACCAGACATACACACACAAGTTCACACATAACTTCAGCTCCACTCGAAGTTGTCAAACCTCACAGTCACTTTAGTGAGTAGAGCAGTTCAGCAGTATGGCAGAGAGACAGGGGGTGAGCCGATGAGAAGTACTGACAGCACAGCCAGTCCTCCAGCTCAGCGTTCCTCTCTGGCTCCAGCGAGCGCTCGGCGAACTTCATCATCAGCAGGGCTCTTTTCACGTCCAGCCAATTGAGGAGGCTCTCGTTTCGGGAGCTGTCCACAAGGCCTCCCCCTTTCCTGTGTCTCTCCCACTGCTGCTCCATCAGGTCCCTCCTGGGGCCCCAAAGCAGACTCTGAAGTATGCGCTTGGCCTCCTGAATATGGATGCGCTTTATGGGGTCCGGCTGGAGGAGGAGCTGGGCGAGCTTCTGGAGGCCCGAAGAGTAAAGCGAGACCGAGGGGACCGGAGGTAAGTCCTCGCAGTGGTAGTCCTGTTCCCTCAGCGCTGGACTCACCTCGAACGGGTTGGGCTGGTGGAGGAGCTCGTAGATCAGGATGCCTGTCTGGAACTCATCAAACTTGCGGTACTGGGCCGCCGAGACGATCTCGGGCGCCAGCCTGGCGTGGTCGCGTTTGATACGTGGGTCCCCGCTTGTCGAAGTAGCATCCTCTGAGGAGCGCCGCTTGGCCTTGGCAAAGTTGCTGATGAGGAGGCGGGGGAGGTGGCGCTGCACGTCCCCAGCAGCCGCGCCGCTTTCAGCAGCGGCCTGTTGGCGCCTCTGCTGATGTGGCACCAACAGCAGGTTTTCTAGACACAGGTCGCGGTGCGTGACCCCGTGCTCCTTCAGGTGCTCCAGGCCGTTGCAGAGCTGCAGCAGGAGGAAGCACACGCGGCGCTCGTACACCTCCGGCTGAGTTTTATGGACCACTGCCCACTCCCGAACAAAGTCAGAAGTAGTCTGGTGAGGAATCTCGGGGGTGATGACCACCACTCTCTCCTGGTCCGCCTGCAGGACAGACGCAGATGAAGCAGAGGGCAGAGAGGCTTCGTCTGAAGGGAGCATGCTCTGAGGAACACAGGCCAGGAAGTGACCACAGTCCTGCTGGAGGTTAAAGTGGGGAGGGATGCTCTGCTGCACCGACAGACCGTACAGATGACCCTGCTTGGCATCAATGGACGGACTTTTACAGATCTGGAGAAGAAAGTATACGAAAGACAGGAGGGGTGAGTGGAGATTCCACACAAGTGATCCAACAAAGCGAAGTCAGGTCATCTAGACAGTTTATTTTTTGTTGAGACGTTTCGTCCTTCATCCAAAGGACTTCATCAGTCCGAGGAGCCACAACAAGTCCTTTGGAAACTAAACCTTCGGAAGGTGATCACAGCTTATCAACCATGAATATAACTCTGTCTGTTTTACAGATACTGAGCTAGTAGCTGGAATGACCCACAACACGTACTACAATATTGTGTAGAATTGTACTTAATATAATTTTAGATTTTGACAGACATATATTTAACTCCCTCATTGGGAGTTAAAAACTCTTGACATAAAAAAACAGCAGGTGATGTGTATTCCTTCAATGAATATGAGGTGTTTTATTTAGGGTCTGAAGTGAGTTTGGAAATAACTACGGCTCTTTTATATCTGTCAATCAAACACCTAAAATTGTCATTGTTTGCTGTGATTTCACTTTCATTTGCTTCTATCTGATTAACAGGATTAAAACCCCAAAAAGCTTCTTTCGCCTCATGTTTCAGGAAGAAAAACCCTCGAAGCTTGACTGAAAAAGTCAATAAAATCAGTAGCACAAGCCAACGCTGACTGCAGATCATCGCTCATTAGCATTTGTGAAGGATGCTCTCCGACTGGTGTCTGTGTGTCTGTCTTTGTGTGCGTCGGCCTTGACAACAGAGGTCTGTCCGGCTGTAAATCCTTCCTGGAATGTCAAAGATTAATTGGGCCTAAAATATTAAGCAAGAGTCTGTGGCGTAACGCCAACACAATCCAAACAGCCGATGCTTTGTAGAGCAATAATGACTCGAGCACAAAGATCAGCGGGGCTGAATCCACAGCCTACGTGGAGGGCTTGTTTACGCTGTGCACACCGAAGGCTTGTTCTGCGGCAGGACCGACCTACCTGAAGCCCAAGGACAAACAGGATGACATTTACTATTTTAATGTCTATTTTTGTCTTGAAATTGTCAAAGCTTTATGAAAAAACAGAAATGTGTAGCCAAAGCTACAGTTGTTTGCACTGCTACGATTTCTGAACTAACGAATCATGATCATACAAGACATTAGGCGTGAATGGTTATTAAGAAGTGCTGTATTTTTCAGACTATAAGGCGCACTTAAAATCCTTTAATTTTCTCAAAAAATTAACAGTGAGCCTTATAATCTGGTGCACCTTTTGTATTAATTCTGGTTTTGCTTCCTGACCTCGAACCAATTTTATGTGGTCCATGGTGCTCAAAAATCTGTCAAAATGTTTTAGTTTCGCTTAATGCGCCTTATAATCTGGTGCACCTTATACGCCGAAAAATACGGTAATAATTTATTCAACAATCTGGAAGATATACTATCTAATTTTCAATTCCCTTCTTATTGTTTAACATTCACAGTCCTAACACAGCATCCTGTTCAACAGTGAGTAAAATGTTTTCGAGTAGCACTCAAAGGTTAGCTGCATAGATTAATTCAGATCTTTTGAAATTAAATTATGTGGAAATCCATTAATAATTATCATCTTACCTGCAGTAGATAGCTCTTTGAACAATCTCAATGAATGGTTTGACAGTTTAACGGCTAGTTCAAGTCAAGACCAAAATGGATCGCTGTCTTCTTAAAACAACTTGAATCTAAAAACATTTATATCTATAAACAAAAGCGGTTTTTTAAACCTTTAAACTGCCATAATTTTTTTATTATCGTATTTTTTGGACTAGACGGCACATTTAAAGTCCTTTGGTGGTCTCAAAAAAATTATAGTGAGCCTTATAATCCGGTGCACCTTATGTATTAATTCTGGTTGTGCTTACTGACCTTGAACCGATTTTATACAACTGAACAATGTTGAGTTATTGCGAATGAGTTGAATAAAGTTTGACTGTTTTGTTTCGCTTAATGCGCCTTGTACTCCAGAAAATATGGTATGTGGTTCTTGACGTAGATTTTTTTAAATAGTTCAGTCTAACAGCAAGCAGCAGCAAACCATAGCACTTTTAGTGCAGCGTGGAGCAGAAAAACTGTCATTGAAGTCAAATGTTTATCAAATATTTTTTACATAAGATGAGAACTTTATGAGATTGGAGTTTTTTAAGGTGGCAGTAGTTAATTAATTAATTTATTTTTTTACTTGGACGTGCTTGCCCTAACTGTTAGCTTGTCAGTCTAGTCAGAATTAAAGTTTATTTCTACAAACCAATGGTTGCCAAAGCCTTACTAAGGACTTACTGTGGATCATAAAACAACAAGAGCAGGGTCTTGATGAGTTTCTGTTAAAATGCTTTTATGCAATGTTCAAATACTTTTACCAGCAGCTGTTGGGTTTATGTAGGTGCTATGACTTTTATTTTGTAGGAACCACTGCTTGAAAGCAAGGTCCTGTCATGTAAAATCGTATTTGTTTATATTGTTTCTACAGAACTCCATGTAAAAACACGTTTATTTTTTATTTTTTATACGTATTGCTGTTTTTATATATATATATATATATATATATATATATATATATATATATATATATATATATTACGTGTGTGTGTGTGTGTGTGTATTGGATCATCTTTAAAATATATAAACAGATCTACAATTTCCTTTGAGAGCTCTTCATCTGATTAAATGTATAATTTACCTGTAAACACACCACCTATTTATGAAGTGATTGATTTATATTAACTCCTAATGTGGGCTCAGTATTACATATTACCTTCACAGCGTAGGAGTTGCTGGGGTCTAAGGCGCAGGCAGCAGAGTAGTACACAGCATCTCCTGCGTTGCAGCTCGGCTTGTTCGACGTGAGCCTGAACAGAGACCAGTTGCTCTCGTCGAACCGAAATGAATTCTTCTGGGAGAGGGTGAAGTGATCTTCGCATTTCAGCGCTAAGCGTCGCAGGGACTCTGCGTACAGGCCGCCCAATTTGGAGTACACTCCTTCCCTACTGTCAATGTTACTGAGAAGGGTTTGGAGCTGCAGGCTGGAGCCCACATTTGGCGCCGATCCCGGCTCAGGGGTGGAAAAGGGCGCGCTGAGCTGAGGCGAAGACGAGACAGTGATGCTGGTTCGGCAGTGCACGCCAAGACGACCCTGAGTGGTCTTGAGCGGCTCGTCCAGAGTCCGGGACCTGGAAGGTCGGCCCATTGGGGTGTGACAGCGCTCCAGGGACTCATTGGAGGAGAAAATGGGCCGTGGGTCGACAGGGCTGGGCGGTAGACTGGTTCGGGAGCTGGCCTCGGTAGAGCGACAAACGTTAGTCTCTGAGCCGGCGAACGTGAGGCGTGGATAGGCTCGGACGAAAGGTTTTCCGTTTGCGTTGTCGGGAGCTGACACGGTGCGGTTGACCAGCTTCTTCTCCGGGAGAGGAGGTGGCTGGCTACCCAAACTGCTGAAGGAGGGTGGGAGAGGAGAACCAGGAGCTGATGCCACTGGAATTCTGGGAAAAGGTGAACAAGACATCCGTGTTGTATCCCGAGAACCTAAAACAGAAGGAAAAGCATCTTAGTTCGTATTATGATCAACGGCTGAATCAAAATCTGCAGTGTTTGTCTTATTTATGAGTCCTTGTGAGTAAATTAATTTTAACCTGCAAGTACTCACCAATTCAAATACCCTCAACTGATTTATTCCCTACACCCCTTTTGTCCCTGCTCAGTCGTGACACATACCTCCTTTTCCCCCAAAAAAGTTGAAAATTTCCACAATCCTGGGATCAAGCCGACACTCAAAACATCTTCCAACCAATTATGATTCATTTTTCAATTAAAGACTTAAAGTTGGAACTTGACATTACACTTAACGAGACTGTCACAGACATAATTGTGAGTTTCACTCTTCAATAACGGCTTTCACAGTAAGAAGACTGAAGGGGGGGGAAAGGGTGTAGCCAAGCCCTTTTTTCTTCATTATCAGACTCCATAATTATCTCTTTAAACAACGTTGCCCAGGAAGTTGCAGCAATTACAAGCGTCTGAGTGCCACTGAAGTTTAAAAACAATACCCCAAGGACAGATGCCGCTCACACCAAGGCATGTCTTGGGTTTGGAGACTTCAGGAGTCATAACAAAATATATGAGCAGAAGAGGACAGATAACTTGATTTAGCCTTGCAGGACTTCCATTTTTGTTTTAGTTAAATAAAAGAGCAAGAGAATGTTTACACACATCAGATGATGCTTTGGATTTAAGTCAGGTTTTCTTGGAGTACACTTTTTTTAATATATTTTGCTGAGAGGGACCTACCAGAGTCAGCTGCCAGGTTGTCGGTGGAGGCTGTCGGCAGGCTGGTGCTGCCCAGACTCCGTAAGGACGATGTTTGGCTCTCTACAGACCCTTGTTGGCTGCAGCAGTTCAACTCCACACTACTGCCACTCTTCTTACTGCTCACTCTGTAAAATAAATACATATATATCTGGTTGAATAAATCTATATTTTTTTTCCCCACAGCGTCCTGAAGTAGTTTTAACTCCAGGTTTGATCTAGAAATGTTTGTCAAAGTGGAACAGATTCACTTCCTCTTGATTTTTCTCCTCTTTTTTTTAATCTACACTGTTACTGATACATTGAGGGGAGAGAGTACCGGTACAATGTTTTGTTTTTAATGCCTAAAAGGCACTGCCAGAACTGGTCTTGCTTCCTCTTAGAGAGGCACACTTCTTCATTCTGAGCTGATTTATTGCTGCAACTAACAAGACCTGATGAAAACAGTGTCGCCACTGGTACAAGCCTGAGCACATAACCAGTCGTATCTGACATTTAAAGGGGGCTGTGTAACTTCTGCTGAACTCTGACCACTGCGGCCACAAATAATAATAACGCTGGAATATTGGATGTATACATTCCCACGATTCAGCAAAGGTACCATATTTTTGCCGTACAAGTTGAACCTTTTTGCATAAAATTGCAAGTACTGCGACTTATACACGGAAGTGACTCCTTCCCCCATATTTATAATTTAATCTGGGCTGAGATCTGATGATTTCATTCATTCTGACATGAAAAAAAAAAACATTTATAGCCGCTAGAGGGCCCTCTACCTCTATGGCAAGTCAAGTGTCTCATTAATAGGTAAAAGTGGCTATTAATGAGACAACTGGCTTGCCATAACAAGCCACCTTTGTCTCGCTCTGGAACTCCTGGAGCAAACGTTAAATCAGCTGAATTTCACCGCGCCACACAGGCGAAATGCAGCTGATTTGACCATTAAAGTGCATTTATTTATTAAGGAAAAGTTAAACTGAGACACACCTTTGCTGTAATTTTGAGCAAACAAATAATTGTTTAAGTGTTACTCTTGTTAGAGCCCTCCCGTGCACGCTCCCACGGCTGCCATTTTGGCAGCCAATCGATTTTTGACACACCGGTCCACTTTTCCGGGTGGTCAGCGGTGACGCATAATAGATGTGACTTCTACGGCGAAGCGACTTATTTCTGTTTTTTTCCACTTTATTAGACATTTTTGGACTGATGCGACTTATACGTGGTGCAACATGTATGGTGGAAAATACGGTAATTTAACTTTTCTCCATTCTGCGTGAAATTAAAGGCTCAGGAAACAAACAAAAAAAAAGCTATTTTAAAACTAGGGTGGCAAAAAATATATTATTATTGCAATCTTTATATGTGTAATAATAATATTGCAAATGCCTGTAATAAAGAGCACATCAAATTTATTTGGCAATCTGTTCTAATTGCTCATAGCTAATGTAGATGAAAATGCTGAAGCAATTTTTTTGTGTTACGATAACAAAAGAAGAGAGATGCAAATGTATTATTGCATCACTCATTGGAATATTCAACAAAATTGTAACCATGTTTTTCTGTTATACTGCCCTAGTTTCAATCTTTCATCTTTTTCAGTGCAGGACACCAGGAGACACTATCTTGGCTCCGACGTACTACTTTGACATCTCAAAGACGACATATACAATATGAGGTGGGTGTCAGGTAGAGATTATGAATAAAGCAAGGCTGCACAGTGATAAACATGTAATTCCTCTATTATATTAGAATTTTTTTGAGTTGTGATAGACATTTTTTTTCCACTCTTTATTTCTGTTTGTCATCACAAGGCTGTTTTTAATCATTATCATATAAATCAGAGGTGGGCAGTGAGAGTCCTTCTAATTGGCCGACATAATATTGACATGTAGACCATTTTAAGCATATTAGTCTATAATATTTAACAGTCCAAGCATCATTTGCGATATTGATATTGTGCAATTTGATGTTTCCTTTGCCAATAAACTTTCAAAATATTGTGCAGCCTGTAAAATATATACAACAAGTGTTGATATGATGAGATTTTTTCTTTTCAGTTTTCTGACAAACATGATGGCTGCTCGCAGTTCCACAGAAAATCATACGTGAGCTCCCATCCAGGTGACCAATTAGGCTGACTGACAGCCATTCACTCGTCTCATTATACACGCTAATGACTCGGGCAAGCAAGGTCCCGTTCCTCCCCTTTATCACTCGCCTCTCTCTTCCATCTCAGAGTGACTCCTCCACCAATTTATCTGCTGGCCTCCGACTTCAGTTCCACCGTAAATCAGGAGAACAAACAGAAAAGGAGGAGATGGAGAGGGAGACGAAGGGTAGAGTATTCTCTGTGGGCAGCTGACTAAAGGATCTGCTATCGTGTTGCAGACAAAAAGGCTGTGAAGAAAGGAAGAGGAAGTGATGCTGCACGGGACGAATGGTAAAGAGTGCAGGGATTATGAGCTTATGCATGAGTTCTACACAACTGTCTAACTTGTACCAAAACATGAGTGAAAGGATGTCATTTCGCTGAACTGTGGGAAAATGTGCATGAATGAATGAGTTTTCTAAGGTTACGCATAAAAAAGAAATCAAGCAATCTTTTTCCCATGCTTGGAATGCTCAGTCTTAGCCAAAACATCCTGACTATTTCCTCTGAGGAGATGCAATCTCCTTCATTGCGGACAAGAAATACCACAACCGGCCCGGGTAAACTCGTCAGGCAAGTCATTCATCCTTATCAACCTGACCACGGCAGTACCACAGATTAAAAAAGTAAGCCACCAACGTTACAGTGATATCCACGATTTGTTAACACACACACTCTTCTGATAGGGTTTTAACAAAGCAGTGCAACAGGAACTGGTTGAGCTTTAAAAAGCAATCTGACTAGAGTTACATGTGACTGGGCACAGACAGAAGTGCAGCAGGGTTCAACAAGACACAAACTAAGCTGCTGCTGTTGATGTTGTGGATCGTTCACCTGCTTTCACTTCCTGACTCTTTTTTTAGAGGGGACGCTCTGTGGTAAATATATAAAACCAATCTAAGACGCATGTGCCTCACAGCTTCTGGGTGTGCAAAAGCTCATGTGCGCAAATGCTAAAACTCAGCGGCTATTTGGATATCAACAATAATCTTTACCTCGCGTTCTAAGCTGGTTAGAAAATGAGGTGACTCAGATTTTACTGTCATGTACAGAAGGTGGATGTACACTTAAGTAATGTGATGCAATCTGCTTCAACACCCAGGCAACAAACTTTCAAGATGCACGCAATTTCAAGTTTTGAGTCAGAAACACTGAAGGTTTTTAATGACATCATTGAAGCATTGGATGATAAGGATTATTGTGCTGCACTTTTCTTAGAACTGGCTAAAGCTTTTGACACTGTGGTTCAAGACGTATTGGGTCATAAGCTCTCAGAAACTGGTTTCTCAGATCATACCATTGGTTCTCTAACTATCTTTCAGATCGGAGGCAATGTGCTTGACGTAATGGTATTTCCTCCAGTTTAACAGTCAGCAATAGTGTACCACAAGGCTCTGTCTTAGGACCCACCATTTTTACAATATACATAAGTAGTGTAGGTCAGAGCATCCCTGATGCATCCTTACATTTCATCCTTATCTCTTGTAAATGAGTCCCCGAGGCTCAATGGGATTAACCTGCATAAATAAAGGTTGAATGAATGATGCAATCGCACTGGACAAGACGTCCATTCTGCAACATTCCTTCACGAGACGCACAAAAGTAGAGTTTATAGCATCTGCACTGTTGGATTAGTTTATCGTCCTTGTTGTGCAACAATATTGTACAGAGAAAAAAAGACACCATTGCTACTTTACCCTGACTGTAGGATAGTTGCCATGGCTATACAGCCATATAAGCCAAAGATCCATTAATGTTTGACACAAATCCTTGTTATCTTACATTAACGGCTCCAGTTCTGTCTTGTTATCTTCTTCAGTCAGCCATCTCTTTCTTCACTGCAGCCCGCTTTTCATTTAAATGCAAAAAAGCTTTCTGCAAATTTAATTTAGCTGGGCCTAACCAAGAGGGAAAAATCTTTCTGACTCCTCATGCTCTTAAACTTCTCACTCATTTAATTAGAACATGCTTAAACGAGAAGAGGCAAAAGAAAGCAGGTTGTAAAAGAACAAAAAAAAAGGTTCAGCACATAGAAAGCCACAGCTTTATTTAAGTTGCCATGGTTTTAAAAAAGAAAGTGGAAATGCAGAAGCTTCAGTTCAGTGCTTACCTTAAAATAAAAAAATGGTTTAGCAAGAACTTTAATTTGCTATCACAAGTACTTATCAATTTCCATGCCTAACTAAGACACAGCCGGTAAAAAGTAGCCATCAGGTGCTTACCTCATGCTGCTGAGGTCCTTTTCGGGCCGGTGGGCACACAAAAAGCCCCTGGATCAGACTGCTGGCTTTCTAAAGCCCTGTCATGTGTAGTAACACAACCCTGGTTCCACACGAGTCATGAGTATATTTAAAGTGTCTCAGCAAGAAATGCAACGGCCTCCATTAGGTGAGCGGAACAAAACTACTCTTTTCTAACATTTAGCAGTCAAGTCATGCAACTTTAGAGCAACCTTTGAGTCTGCCAGGCATCAACAAGATGCTATCTGTTGTGCAGCAGAAAAGGGATCAGCATGGCTCTGCAGAGGGAGGGGCAGGCATCTTGGAACACAAGTTTACAGAGCGGAAAGGAACTGAAACCCAAGCCAAACTTGCTGGACCTGAGTCCACATGGCTGATCTAAAAATTCTACTTCTATTGGTGGCAACTGATAGTCAGGCTGGGACCGTTTGGGAGTTGCCAGGGGCAACAATCTGTTCACTTAAGCCCCGCCTTTTGGCAGCAGTCAAAGGCCGGTTGACACGCCTTTCTTGTCAGGACAAGAGCTTCATCGCACTCTTATCTATGACGTACTTACAGGTACAAACACACACCTCTTGTTAGCGTGACCTGACGAGGAACAATAGCTGACATTTTAAACCGGAATTTTTAAAAAAGTGTTAAATGCAAGTTTGATCAAAGGCTTCGGGAGGCAAATTTTTCCAACCATCTGGCTTTTAAATGATTCAGAGAATCAAAATGTTGCCTCAAAGGAAGACTTTTTATTTTCAGTGATTTTTTTCCCCCATGCAATAAACAAATAGGAGTTCAAATTCTGCTCATAAGATCCAATTAAAAAATAAACAATATAACAGCTTTGCGGGAAAGATGTCGATTCTCTGCAGTATTTTGTCTCGAGTGCAGCACAAGAGTCCAGGAACAAACTGGCTGAAATTTTGAAAACCAAAACTATTACTGGCTGGCTAAAAGAGGGTTTTTACAAGTGTCTCAGCAAGGTATTTTTGTCAGCGCAGAATGTTGTCTACGCCATAACAGGAGATGGGTCTCTGCTAGAATTACCACAAACACAAGAGCCCTTAAGACCTGATCAGTTATCTGCATTTTTGGCAGTAGGACGTTGTCCAAACTGGCTTTTGTTGAGTCTATCTCAACAAAAGGAAGACACAAAGAGAGTTACACCTCACCTTTAATGTCTCAGACAAAAATAGGATTACTTTAATTGGGGGGTCGTTTGATGCTCTACTAAATGCAACACAGGAACACTTCCTGTTTTCTGCTTCTAACTAGCAGGGTGTATTCTTGGCCTCATGGTGACTCAGTTTAAAGCAAAATTAAACACACATAATGGAAAATAAGGGTTAGCAAAAAAGAATGTACCTCAAGGATTTGCTTTTGTGTAAACATGTTAAATATCTTCCATGTGAACACATTAAAAAATGGACTAATTCATTTGAGAATTACAACTTAAGAAGATATTTAAAAATAATAATAATTACTGCTATTGCACAAGAGCCAAAACACTTCACAGAAACGTGACACAGAGGTGGATTATCTGAGCATTAACTAAGACTGAGGAAGTCATAATGTCAGCACAAACAGAACAAGGCCTGCATTGAGCAGTCTGAATGATCACAAGGGGTAAGAATGGAGGCTGATACAAGGCTGAAAAATGATGCTGTGAAAGGAGAAGGCACTGCACGATTCACAGGGACATAGCTGCAGTAAAGTGCATGAATACGCAGTCACAGCCAGCGTACTATAGATTACAGCGGCACTATTTTATACACTGTCAGACAGGAGAGCAAAACCCAACCGTGTTTAAACATCCATATGACTTGCTATAATGCTACTGCCTGACTGTAAACAATCATTTAGACCCTCCTCTGTTAAGGTGTCTAGTGTATTTGCTGTGTTTGCCCTTATTATGCATAAAGAGTATTTACACTGCGGTTTGAGGAAAAAAATTATATAAGTGTATTTAAACAAAATAAGTTATTTTCATCTGCTCTAAATTAAAGGAAAAACAGCATAAATTAGTTTATTAGGTTAACCTGAAAACAGCTTCTGTGTATTATTTAGTTCTAGGCAGTGGTGCAGCCATAGCTGGCCTATGCTAGCTTCGACTTTCCTGTTGCTTGTGTTTTCAACTATTAGCGTGATTAACTCATGTCAACTATTTCTGGAAAATAATCATCGTTTTTTTTTAAGAACTTATCAATGTCTACCCATTGAGAGGCTTCGTTAGTCTGTTGTGTTTGATAGGTTAATTGAAAAAGTAAAAACCTGATAAGCTTTTCGTTCCTACCTGTGCAGTTTCTTAGGTGGGGGAGGTGGTGGATTGAGGTGATTTTTGGCAGCCCCTTTCCCTGCTTCGAGCATCTCTGATGAGCCACCATGCAACGATTGCTTGGCCAGCATGCTCCCGTTATGCTTGCCCTCCTCCTTTGCGCCGGTGCCCTTAGTTTCCCCCTGACAGGCACCATTGTTGGAGCCAGCTGGGGGGGCTGTGCCTGGCTGTGTCATCAGAGGGGGGCTTCTGTGGGCATTACAGTCACTGGCCTCATTCCAGACAGCAGCACCATTGACCAGGCCTGTCACAATGGAGGTTGTCCCTGGGCTGGCAGCTAGCTTCTTCTTCTCAATCCCTTTCCGCTCTTTTTCTTCCTCCTCCTCCTCTTCCTCAATGCAACAGTTCCAGCTGGAGCTGTGGTGGAGGGGCTTGTGGAAGTGCTCAGATGATGCACTCGTGTTGTTGTCTGTGGGAACACTGAATTGGCCTTCTCTCGAAGAGACGAGGAAAAACACGGGGAGTTCGGGGAGTGGAACAGGGGATGACATGGATGTTGCGAGGCTAGATGCACCTAGTTTGGGAAATTCTGGAAGAGGGACTGGAGAGGACAGAGATGGCGAGAGGCTGGAGTTGCCCAGTTTGAGGGAACGAGAGCTTCTCTTTGGAGGAATAGGCGGACTAGACTGGGGCTTAGGGTACATGTTGGTGGATAGTGAAGCTTCTTTGCTTAGACAAGGTGCACTACGGTTGAGGCTGGGCCAACGAAACGCTGGGCTACTGGGATTTTTGCATGCTGTGGGACTAAAGTTGCACTGGGTGCTGACACCAGAATCTGGACTGCACAGGTAGAAAGTTCTGTTGTTCTCCTCTGTGTGAGCAGCCATTACAGTGATGGTGGCACGCTGACTCTCTCCAGATGGTTCAAACTCAGAGCACTGTGACTGCGTGGTCTGGTTTGGGGACACTGGATTGGTTCGTGGTACATTTCCCAGTTTAGACTTTTTCTTGGTGCTCTCCGCATATATTGGCTCAGAGTTTGCTCGTACAATGGGAGGGATGGAAGTGGACTCTAGTCTACCCATAGTTATTGGGCTTTGGGGACTCTGTGACAGTTCAGGTCTACCCACTGCCTCATCAAGCCCAGGAAGAGAACCTGTACTGCCACAATAAGAAGGAGAATCTGATAGGCTGCTCTCTTTAGACAGGACAGGAAAAGAGTTCAGGGATACTGGGCTAAAAAGGCTAGTAATATCCACACTTGAGGTTGACATGTGGGAAACAGAAGAGCTGGATGTTGTTGTTTTAACAGGACTACTGCTTAAACCATTGCAATGAATTGTTGCATGATCAGAAGGGACAGTATCCACTGAAAAAGGAACCTCTTCAGCTGCCTCACAAGTCTCTTTAAAATTTTTCACACCACTTCCATTATGGGTACCATTGTTCCTATTAGCAGCCATATTCTTATGCTGCCAGCAGGAGTCCTCATTAGCATTTTTCTTTAAATTCTGAGAACCTTTACCTTCCTCCTGGCTGACTAAAATATTGCTGATGATCATGGAGTCTTTGGGCAGAATACTGGGGGACAATGAAAGGCAGTTGTTGTAGTCAATCTTGGCTTCAGGACTTTGAAGTACAGCATTTCTATGGGCCTTGTTGCAGCCATTATTATCAATGTAAAGTGGAGACATGTTTAGAAGCTTCTTCAAGCCCATCCGCTCAGTTGGGCTCTTTGTATTGTCCTGCTGCAAATAAAAACGATCCATATAAAACACATCACGACACAAGGTTCAGTAAAGAAAATGAACACATTGGAGACTCACCTGCTCTATGTTCATGTTTATGTCTTTTGGCTCACTGATGTCAAAGCTCATCATAGTGGGCTTGACAGCGATGGTTGGCTTGCTGTAAGACGAAAGTGCAGTCAGTCCAACTTCTTCATCGCCTCCCAGGTTGTTCTTCAAACAAGCTGCTGGCACACTACCATCCAAGACGCCTACTGTGTTGTGCGCACTTAGTGGGTGGAAGCAGTTCTTGCAAGAGCCAGGTTTCCACACGTGTTCTGCAAAGTCACTGCACGCTGACATCTTTGGTTTGCTAAGATGTAGTTTGGTCAGAGGAGGCAGTGAAAGTATCCGTCAGATGGAGGAAGAGCTCTCATGGCTGGCTCACAAGAAAATTGAAAGAGGAAAAAGAGGTACATTGTTAAAAGACATTAATCGATTGTTTTGATAAACCCCTACCACAAGGTTTCAAGTGTTCCCTTGACTATTAATTCAAAATTACAGGAGTTAGTGGTTAAAAAATTACAATATGATATAGGACATTCTTTCCGGAGGTTCATCACACCATCAGTTGTGTCGGATTCATTTATGTTAACAGAAATGTCTTTTTTTTTTACTGTAGTTCCGATATGCAATACAACATGATTTAGCTTTTTACAGACAATGACATACAACATTATTTTGTTGTAAATGTGCAAAATAGGTGTAGGCCATGTAGTGTCATAAAAGCATGTGGAAAAAAGGGTTCCATCCAAAATCAATGTAAAATCCCCATTTTTAACTATAAATACATGCCTTGGTGATCATATAAAAACAGTAATTTATAATAAACAGTTGTATTTCACTATATCTTCACACTGTCTTTGGTGCTCAGGCCTAAATAAGCAAGCAATTAACTGTTTAGCGCTAATTATTTGAAGGATCAAATCATTTGAAAGTCATGTTATGAATCCAAGGGATGTGGAAATCCAGTTCACTAATTAGGTATCGGCTGTATTGCAAACATTCTGCATCATTCTCAATATGATGAGAAGTTGGCCTAAATTTAACCCCAAAGCTTTGAATAACCATTTACAAGTGCAACAACGTTTATAAGGAAAATTTTTTAGAGAAGCGTTTTCCAAGCCCATTGAAGGTCTTGAGATGAGGACATAAGGGTCATCCATGAATGTAACCCAAGAAGACCAAATATGTGCAGTGCTACATGTTCCCATGGCCTCCTAAATTAGAGGCCATGTGGCCTCTGTTCAACCAAAAGGCTTGTCGGAGTGAGCCCTGCAACATAAAAGCCCTCCGAAGAGTCGTCAGCAGCCCCTCGACAAGCCAGAAGAAGACGAAAGAGCCTCAAACATCCCGGAGGTCGGAATGTGAGGAATGTCTAAAGGCGCAACTTGCACCAGGATGAATCTCGCACCCAAGACAACCTCCATCCCCCACCCTTCTCCGCACAAACACACCCGGCTCTCCCACTCCCCATGTGTCCTCCCACCCTCACAAACAAGGACTCGTCACGCCCTGTTTGACTGGACTGACAGAGAGATGAGAAACACTGTTTCAGGGTCTTGCAACCAGTGGTGTCTTTTAATGGTCTTTACATGACGTTAATTGCTTCTCAACAAGGTGCCGCAATGACTCACACCAGCATTACCACAATTCTTTCACTCGATATTCAGAGAAAACTGGGAGATGGCAAGAGGACAGACAAACGCTGTCCTGAAAGATAAGGTATCATGCAATTGCACTTCATAGCACATTAAGACAAACGCAATTACTATTTACAGGATGAAAACAAGACGTTAACAAATGCTTTCTTGACAATTCAGAGATCAACTTTGCAATGTACTAATCAGAAGGCATAAAGAGTTTCTATGTTGCTAAAGATTTCTTTGTTCTGGCTGACTCGTTTTAACAGGAAAGCACCCACTACCTCACTGTTTGTTTAACTTACAGAGGAAGCAGAGGCTTGCCCAACATCTTGCACTGCTCCGCACGAGTCATACGAAAAGATACCGGACCACAGACACACTCAGAATTGGGACACTGCCGTCACAGATAAAAGCCTGACCACCAAATGACCGCAAGACGAGTTTTCCAACAGCTTCCATGTCGTCTGCGCAGGACGGAGACACTTGGAGCTGTTCGCCAGCTCTTGTTCAGTCCAATCCAAGATAGAACCCCTCGTCTACATTCCCCACACCTCCTCAAGCTCAAGGTCCAATATTTCTCACTTCCTTTTGTAAAACAGCACATAGGGACGAACAAACAAACGTTCAGCCACACAATAAGCCCTGACCATGAAGGTTGTAAAGAATACCTCAACAGCATGCTAGAAGTTTAAGGTTTCGAGGGTGAATGTGGAATTTGTAATTTTCAGCCACTTGAGGCAGACGGTACGAATCTCATGTTGCCTTGACCTGTGTACATAAGCAACTGTCCTAAAATATGCAGGATGTTGTTTTAAAGCTCATCTTTTAAAGTCGTACCCTTGAAAAACAGGTTGCAGTATGCAGTTTAAAATGTACTTCAGTGACTCCCAATTCTTTTAGCTCCAGACCCCCAAAATAAAAATGGCAAAGACTTGCAACCCTAACTGTTCTTTGTTGAACTATGCACTTTACTAAAAAAGTAAAAAAAAGAGCATGACAACACAAATAGCTTCAACTTTCGTTATGTTCCTGCAAAATAATTTCAGGACACCCCCGCCAAACTTGGTACTGGTTTAAATGGTCCACAGATTATGGTGCCCAACAAATGCAATTGAGGGCTTGAAACATCTTCTGCTCCACAAAGCCCACAAACAAGAGACATACGCCCCCCCCCCCCCCCCCCTTTGAACAGACAATCGTGCAGTTGTCAAGTATCACCTGGTAGTGTCAATGACTGCATTGCTTTTTAGGAAGACGTCATAATAGAGAACCTTAATGGGATAGAATTCCCTGCAGGGAAAGGGAGGTCCAGTCCGGATGGTGGTGGTGGTGGTGGAGGGGTGAGGGTTTCGCTGAAACTTTTCTCAGAACTCCAGCTCTTGTTTTGTCTCTATCTTGGATGTATCTGCGCGCACGTCCATCCACGCCCCACGTGTTCCGGGTTCGAGTTTACGCCTCTCGTGCCTCTTCCTTTGCGTCATTGTTTTGGTAAATGTCCTTCAGCGCATCAATTAAAAGGCGATTTCTCAGATTAGTGTATGTTACATAAACAATCACGTTTAGGAATGCAGCCCAAACCATTTGTCTCAGGACACAGAAGGAGATCGATAGATGCCATGTAAGAGAATAAAGCAGGACACGGTTATCCTCTGCTGCTTACCTGCTGCTCGGACCTTCTCCTCCTCCCACAAACACAAACAGCCTTCCAGGAGAACACGGTGAAATGACAGCAGGGTGGGCGCTGTGTTCCCACTGTCACCACGCAGGGCTCCGCAATGTGGCACGAGGGTGCGGGCTGTTGCTGCGGGCTGTGCGCGTCTGCAGCCGAGCTGCTGCTGCTGCTGGAGCGGAGCTGGACTGACTCCTCTGCAGCAGCAGCAGGAGGTGGAGGTGGGGGGGGGGCGCAGGGGGGGGGTGGGAGGAGCTCCTGAAGCAGCCGCGCAGTCTGGAGGTTTTCAATGTTATGGTGCGCGCTGCTGGCACAGTTCAACCCTGGTCACGTGGATCAACAGAGCGCGTGCGGGTTGTGCACAGCGTGACCCCAAAGTGACTCCAACCTGAGTGAGCCGGCGGGCGTTACACTATCACCCGCCGCCAAACGCAAAGCGGTAAGGTTGCACTGTTAGCAAAATATCTCACGAACCGCTGAATGGATTTTAAAGAAGCTTTCAGGGAGCAATCATTGTTTTGATACCGACAAGTGATTACGTCATGGAGTCAATCTGATTCAAAATGGCCGCCGCAGCTAAGGGACCTTAGCTGAATCTTGATGCGGTTGTAGCTGAGAGTCATCCCCAAAACATAGTCCAAGTGTTACTTGTTGCTCAGGATGCTTAATTAAAACTTTGACACAAAAAACTGTTTGAGTCAACACAGTTGGTCTGTTAGCAAAATATCTCCTAAACCACTGGATGTTTTTTAATGAAACTTTCAGGATGTAATCAATGTAAGCAGTGTTTTAGGATACAGTATGTCCTTTCTAACACAGACAGAGGCTGTGAGCTGCTGTCAGTATTTGAAACACTCCGGCTCCCTGTAACTTTAAAGATTGTAATTCTGGCTACAAAGGAAACGAAATAAAATCCACATAAAAGCCCGTTGGCTTGAGCAAGCAATCAATCTAAATCAGAAGGCTCTTTGAAGTGGGGGAGTTGATGAACCCCCTCAGGACTGCTCCTGTTTCTGGTCGTTGTGTTTTTTTTTTTTTTTTATCTGAAGACACTGGACATGGCTTTGCCTATTTTGTTTAACATAAACACTTTTAGAAGATCTGTTTCTAAGAGAAGCTCTGGATCGACCAACACCTCCAGATCTCACGTCCCCATTGGTCCGTTGCAGTGTCCACAGTATCCCAGTGCACGTGAATTGATTGGACACAGGGCCCGGCAGCTTCCTGAAGCCCACGCAAAGATTTATGAGCGAGCTGAGACAATCAGCATAAGTGCCAGCGCAGAGAGTGATCCAGGAAAAATGATATCTCTTCGAGGAGCACCTGTTAAATTTGGAGAGCGCCGTCACCCTCTCAAGAGGATTAAAGAGTTTGATGCATTTCATCTGTTTCTGGCAAATGAAGCCTGCCATAACTCTGCTAATGGGGCGATTGAACTAAAGTGCGCATCGCAAGTAAAATGTTGGACCGCACCTGGAAGGCCTCAGACACACTCTGTGTACACATCCTTTATGAAGACGACAAATAAATATTATCTTATATATTTGTGTAAAAGATGGTAAACCCTATCCTACTTTATTTCCCTGAAATCTTCCCAAGGATCAATAAAGTTTTATGTAATCAAACTGACTCTGAATCCTGTTCTGGTGCTGAGTTTTATCTGAATTGTTTCATTAGCTGCTGTAAATGCAGGTTTTTATCCTGCAGACTTGGGATGCTTTCCTTTCCTTGCATGAAAATGGTTTTGTTTTGTTGATCATGATTAACAATTATTGATTAATATATAAAAAAGGAATATTTATATAATGAAACCCACCATCATTATGCCAGAGTTTAAACCTGTCAAGATATGTTGAGAAACAACACAGTTTAGGTCAAACCTTGAAAATAAAGAAACAATATGAACTTGTACAAAATGTGACACACATAGTACATATTGTGAACAACTCTCAGCTACTACCACATCAAAGTTTAGCTTGGTATCCATTAAACTGACTGATTTATATACACTTTTGTGTTGTCTAATATTGATTAGCTGTAGCAGCTATTTCATATTGAAATAACCCACCTGTTCATCAGCTGTAGAAGCACATCCAATCATTACGTTCTGAAAGTTTCATTAATATCCTCCTAGTGGTTTATTAGATATTTTGCTAACAGACAGGCAGCGTTGACTGCAAGTAGTTAATATCAAAATAGATAGTACAGATCTTGTACAATCCGTTAGTGCTCAGAATTCACGTTGCAAACGTCATATCCATAGTATTTGTTTTCGTTTGCATCCCATTAAACATTCTGAGCATCCTTTGTCCCAGTATGGGTTATGAAGGGAACCAGCTCCTGTTGATGCTTATGTGGCTGACGACGAGATCCTCTGCCAGGCCTTGCACACTGATGAATTAGCAGTTTGCTGGAGCGCTGCAGTGATGTGTGAGCCACAGGGTGACCTCTCTGCACACAGGATGCTGCTGCAGCAGAGCCAACCACTACATCATGGTGCACATGAGCAGCGTGCGTTTCTCCTGATGCTGCTTCCCTTCTTTAACAAAATCACTAACGTTCAAACACAATTTACCAAAAAAAACAAAACCTTATGGGTTAATGATACTAAAAATTGATCCAGTTTAGCATAGAGGTGGATTCAGGATGCCCACGCCCACATTTTGCTCCATCATGTGCACTCTGCTCTCTACCTGCTCTGCTTTCTGCTGTGAATGACCAAAAGAGCACTCCTCTCAGAATAAATATCCTTGTTTTAATGAGATTTTCCTGGGAAGTTGTTTACAACATTTGAGAACATTTCAGAATGTTACATATTCATGCAGTTTAAATGTAGTCATTGCAACCAAAAACAAGGTTAAGATAAACTGTATCAAATGGTGCAGTTTGAAAGAGTTTACGGCAGGAGTTGTCCAAATATACC